CGTGTGTGTGTGTGTGTATTTAGTGTTGGTTGTGTGTGTGTGTGTGTGTGGAGGTGAAGGCAAGGTGGCATTAAGGTTAGTAGATTTGACTTTCCGAAGAGGCCTTACGCCAACGAGCATGGACAATAGTAGGAGTGCGCTACTTGGATTGAATTTTCCCTTTTGGCACAATACAGAGGTGCATTCTGCTTCAGCTAAGCCATTTTAAACTTTACATGGAAACTTTTTGGCATTTTAGAAGCGAAACCAGCTGCAGGCACCCACTAGCGTGCTCCTGCTGACTGTGCTTTTACAGTTCAATGGATTGGCAGATAAATGTCAGTGAAGTGTGTGTGTGTGTGTGTGTGTGTGTGTGTGTGTGTGTGTGTGTGTGTGTGTGTGTGTGTGTTTCTAGCAGTACTTCAGTGAAAAGTGTACTATAGCGCTCACTTTTAATAATATTAGTAATAATAATACATTTCATTTTGAAAGCGCTTTTCATCATACTCATAGACACTTTACAAGAGTTTAAAACACGGGATAAAATGTACACTTTAAAGTCAAGCATAAATGATTTAAAACATACACATTTAGAAGAAGAAAAACAAAGCAGAAATGGGTAAAAGAGATTAAAAGGTGTTAAAAGCATTGCGGAACAGGTGAGTTTTAAGAAATGATTTGAAGGATTGGAGGTCAGTACAGTTGCCGATGTTTTATGGTAGAGAGATCCAGAGGGTGGGGGCGGCGACAAAGAAGGCTCGGTCCCCCCAGGTTCTGAGCGGAGGTTGCAGGAAGGAGTGTATGGTTGAAGAAGGTCGGAGAGGTAGGAGGGGGCCTGATTGTGAAGGGCTTGATAGGTAAGTAGAAGGAGTTTAAACTGGATAGTGCGGGTGTGGTGAGAAGGCGAGCGGCGGCATTCTGGATGTATCGTAGTTTATTGAGGCGTTTGGAGGTTGTACCGGAGAGGATGCTATTGCAGTAGTTAAGGCGGGTGATGAAGGTGTGGATGAGGGTTTGAGCGACATTGAAAGAAAGTGACGGGCGGAGGCGAGAAATGTTTTTAAGGTGGAAGAAAGCAGTTTTGGTGATTTGGGTGATGTGTTGGTCGAAAGAGAGATTTTTATCAAAAAGGACACCAAGGTTGCGACAGTGAGAGGAGAGGAACAGGGTGGAGTTGTCCCTAGTGAGGTTCAAGTTGGAGGCTGTTTGGGTGATAATTACAATGACAATGGTTAAAGTGTGTCGTGACCGCTTATTTAATTTTCTTGACTTTGTGGATTTTTTTTTTGGGGCTCACTGTCCCACACTTTCAAACAAACAAAAGAAGGGATTCAGTGGATGCTTTTTGTCCCCCGTCTGTGCGCGCTTACCATGAAAGCACAGAAGGTACTCCTCCTTCTGCATGCTGCTGGCCACCTGCATGATGGCGATGGGGAAGCTGTGGGATGAGGCAGCAAACACTGCTGAGGCCAGCGACATGTCGTTCTTGTCCAGGAACTCTGCGGCACACCAAACACATGACACGTCTTAAAAAAGATGGCGACTTTTCAAACATTGTTTGAAAGACTCATGCGTACAGAATAATTCAAATTGAATTGATCTTGGGCTTGTGATTATTTTAACAAAACCAAGACAACATCACAAATCAATCGGAAGAAAACCACAAGATCGCATTTGACATCATTAAACATGAGCAGCACGGTGTTGTCACTGTTGGGATTTTGGCTCAGCCCCTTCCAGTTTCGATTGGCTGGTTTCCTTGACGACGGCGGAGTGGCCAAAAAGCAGATCTGTTTTAATACCTATTTTGACGGAAAAGGCCATTAACCACTAAAATTTGTTTCCTCCGCCATCTACGGTGCTCCCAAAGAAACAGAATTGGAAGCCCAACCCCCAACTGCTTGAGCAGAAAGCCCACATTTCAAAAGAGAGACAAAGACTGCAATTTAAGCAAGACATGGCGGTCTGAATATCCTAATTTCTTTTCATTCTAACACATAAAAGTAATTTGAGCAGATTTCCTCCAAGCGTGTATCAAGCTGGTAGTCCTCTGCTTTAATCGGAACTCAAGAAGTAGCTATCAGTTTCAAAAAGGTCGGTGAGCCCTGGATGAGAAGTTTTTCAAATTCATCGATTCCAATGTATCGGAAATACGAGCAGGTGAAAAAGGAATTCCTGATGTGCACACCTTCAAGTACAAATTGCTTCATCTCGATCTCGTAGAACTTGTTGGTGCCAAGGATGATGCTGTAGCTTGTCAGGTGGATGCAGCTGCAAGGCTCCAGAGTTTCAATTTCCTATGAAATGAAGATTTTTTTTGTTGTTGTTGTGGTTTAAATTCCAGAATTATACAGTTGCACCATGAGAGCGTCAGAGCGATATTGCAGATCTGCTCCAAAATATAAGTCTGTGTGAAATCCACAAGTGAAATGTTACAGCTGAAGGCTAAGACTCGACTAAGTTGAGGTGATGAAGTGTCACTCAGATGTCGAACTATCTTCTGGATTCAGCGGGATAAAATGATAGATTGGCACAACAAATTGTAACCTGATTTGACTTGCTTTGAGATACTGAGATAGCTATCAAACAATTAGATCCAAATGATCGTGAAAGGCTCCGTTTTCAGGACGTAAATTCGTGGCTACACGGGCCTTATCTGTCTAAAGGCGGTTAAGGTCATTTTCAAGACAGACAATCGCAGGCCAATGGATCTGTGAGAGCGAGGGCTGCTCTGCTGTGGGAGTGGTCATAGCCGACTTCATGGCAGAGAGTCTCAACATCTGCTCTGTGAAGCGGGCTTTTGGATGACCGATAGTTGGTGTGAACCTAGAGCCCAATTAGACACACATTTTCTATTTTTTTCCAATTATGAAGAAAATCATTTTGTTTTATTGGTGTGGTGGAACACGATGAATAAGAGTACCAGAAATTGTTTAGTATAAGTTCATAAAAATCATATCAATGTAGAGTGCAGTGTGGATACAGAAGCCAGGGATCACATTTCACCTTGCGAATGCAATATTTGCTGAGATTGTCATTGTAACGTAGAATGGTGATCTTGTTCGGCATTGCGGCACAAATGCAGGAGCCGTTGTCTATCTGTGAAGACAACACAAACACATGCACGTCCTCAACTGTCTCCGGTCACATTTTTCCAGTGTATGCGCTCATTACTCGAACAAAGACGTACTCTGCCGGCAGCAAACAGATGGCATCCTTTCACCGTCTCAAAGATGTACGGAGCCAGCTCGGACTGGCTGGGCAGGTGGCACTGGCTCAATGACTGTTTTACTCTCTTGATCTCCACCAGGCACAAGGCCCTCTCGTCCCCTGCAGCACACATCGCGGTGTTGAGCGCGTGGCACTCACTCGTCCATGCAGCTGTGAGAAGAGGCTCAGTTCTCACCAACAATCATCAGCAGTTTCTCCATCTCCTTGATGATGTGGATCTGAAAGACCGAGCCCAGGCCTGGAATATGGGTCAGTGAGTTCTTGATCACGTTGAGGGCATACAGACCTTCCTCCGAGCCCACCAAGACTATCTGCGGGCACAGTCAAGCGCATAAGGATTTAATACACAACATGTGACCATATAGTCGACATGTGAGACAATTATGGTACCTGGTCTGTAAGTGGAAGAGTGCAGTTGATATCAAGCCTGTCGTCTCCTTCCAGCTTTAGGAGAGAGTTACCAAGGAGCTTCTAAAATCAAGAAGACATTGACGGTCAACGGGGTCACTCGCTCAACATGAGCTCAGGGAGGCGCAACGGGACGAACGCAATGCCTGCAGAGGTGTGTGCAAGTGAGGATAGGTCGGCAGTCACATGCAGTTTGAATCTGTCTCGATTTGAAAGTTTGCATTCTTCAATATGGACTTTTTACCGTACATTTAACGGCTGGATATAACAGACCTATGCAGTCTGACAAGATCTCAGTTCAAAGTTACATCAAAACTGCCTTTAAAGAGAGAAAAATGCTACATTTTTCTATTGCCCCCCCCCCCCCACACACTTATGTCAAGGTAAAGTATCTCAATTATGCCCGGAGGTCTGTCTGATATAAAACCAGCAGTAAAACAAATAATGTACGTCCATCACAACATTCAGAACTTTCATTGTGGGAAGTTGTGCTTAGCAGATTTGCAAATACTGCACTGTACAACCAAAAGTGACAAGAGCTCAGATCGCTGCAGTTTACAATGGAAAACCAACGTGAGTGTAATTGCTGCCATCTTTGTTTTCAAATAGCTTACCTTTATTTTGAAAGTATTATACCGGAAATCGCTTGTCGTTGCGGCATTTGCCGTGCAGGCTTTGTCTCATCATTCCTCCTTGTTTTGACAAAGCCAAGTGAATTTCCAAAGTTAATATAATAAGTATGTTGAAGCATCACCTTTTTTACTATAAGAATGATCTCTGGCAGAAGACTGCCGTTGGTTGAAAAAGCAGGCCAACGTGGTTAGTACTATTTCGCATTTATTAGTTTAGACGCAAAGCTATCTTTGTCCTAAGTTTAATATTGTGTTTTATATTTCTGAACTTTTCGTTTTACGGAGCGTTCCGGCGTGTTGCTGTGCAATAAACATCTAAAAAAGGAAATGGAGTATCGCATCCAATCAATGGGCCGCATAGTGAGGATCTGACCTACATTTACTGAGCAACATCACGCTAATTTTAATGATGATGCTGCGCTTCCTTCATTTATAAAGTGATGCATTTTAATCATTGTGTATACATGCCACTCAGACTACCAGGAAGTCAACCTAAACAAAATATTACCAAAAACATGCAACAGGAGTGAAATTCGGGGAAGTTCTCAACGTAGGAGCGATTTATTATGCCCGGAGGTCTGTCTGATATAAAACCAGCAGTAAAACAAATAATGTACGTCCATCACAACATTCAGAACTTTCATTGTGGGAAGTTGTGCTTAGCAGATTTGCAAATACTGCACTGTACAACCAAAAGTGACAAGAGCTCAGATCGCTGCAGTTTACAATGGAAAACCAACGTGAGTGTAATTGCTGCCATCTTTGTTTTCAAATAGCTTACCTTTATTTTGAAAGTATTATACCGGAAATCGCTTGTCGTTGCGGCATTTGCCGTGCAGGCTTTGTCTCATCATTCCTCCTTGTTTTGACAAAGCCAAGTGAATTTCCAAAGTTAATATAATAAGTATGTTGAAGCATCACCTTTTTTACTATAAGAATGATCTCTGGCAGAAGACTGCCGTTGGTTGAAAAAGCAGGCCAACGTGGTTAGTACTATTTCGCATTTATTAGTTTAGACGCAAAGCTATCTTTGTCCTAAGTTTAATATTGTGTTTTATATTTCTGAACTTTTCGTTTTACGGAGCGTTCCGGCGTGTTGCTGTGCAATAAACATCTAAAAAAGGAAATGGAGTATCGCACCCAATCAATGGGCCGCATAGTGAGGATCTGACCTACATTTACTGAGCAACATCACGCTAATTTTAATGATGATGCTGCGCTTCCTTCATTTATAAAGTGATGCATTTTAATCATTGTGTATACATGCCACTCAGACTACCAGGAAGTCAACCTAAACAAAATATTACCAAAAACATGCAACAGGAGTGAAATTCGGGGAAGTTCTCAACGTAGGAGCGATTTTTTTTTTTCTTCCAGTTGGATCAGAATGATGTGGTTTTCACAAGAAATGCGTGCTGCAGTGATAGGACAAGTGAACATGAGGGGCATCTCAGTGGGGCAGGTGGCAGCTTGGGTGGGAGTGGAGGTGGATTAGCCAGGTGTGAATGTCAGGAAGTCTTGTGTTTGCACTTTTTTACCTGGACCAGAAAAGATAGAACCATTTGTCTTTTGGACACAGCAGCCTATGTGCGCAACGATACTCAATGAAATGGGTAAAATCCAACAAATCAATAAAACATGCCCATATAATGAGGCGGGATGGAAACGCAACAAACGGGGTTGGGAAAGATAAAGCAAGGGGAAAAAAAAGAATGAGGGAGAGAGACGGAAAAGAAGATGACAATTAACGACAGAGAAAAGTGAACCATGAGTTCATCCAAAAAGACAAAAGGTTAAAAACGAGAGTCAGTTCACTCTCCTGAATAACCCAGATAGTAGCGATCACATCCAGAAAAGAGACCACTATCACAAGCCAGCCGAGTGCAGAGATACTCACTGCGTCCGCCTCAGCCTTCTCCCGAGAGATTCGCCCCCCGGCGATGACAGATTCCATGACTGCCACCCAGCGCTGCTTGTCTGGGAAACTGGGAGCCATAAAGTAAACGGACTGTCCAGGCCAGCAAGGGGTGTGACAACGAGCCTCCAGCTTCAGGACATATGGAACATCTGAAGGACAACAATCGATGAGTTAAATTAATGAATACTTGACTTGTTATGAAGGATAATATAGTTGACAAAACTAACAAAATAACACAAATTAAAGTTGGGGAAAAAATATTTACCTGAACAAAATAAAAATAGTTCAAAACTAACTGAGACGAGAGCTTACGATTATAAAACTGTAACTACAATTATAGCAAAAATGTCCTTTATTTACCTCTTTTCAATATCATAGAAGTATTTAGGGTTTGTTTTAAATGTATTTATTTTGGTATTGCTGTGCATCTGTAGAAGAAGGAAAGTCCGTTGTTTGAGAATTCTGGTTTACTTGATTACACAATACAGTTCTTTCATCTTGCACTCAATAAATGTTCCAACTAACACAAAAACGAGTCAAAACTAAATTAAAACAAACAAACAAAAAATAAGCACTAACAAACTTTGCTATGAAAATGAATGAAAACGGGAATTTCAAAAAAACAACACGAAATAAAAGCTAGTATGAAAAATCACAACTTGTTACAACCATGTTCCTTATGTAAATGTGTTTGGTGTTATTTATTTGAAGAATTACGTGACACCTGATTTAGCTGTGTTGGGGAGCTCAGTGGCCCCGACCGCTCCGTGAACTTCGACCTCTCCATCAGATATGCACAAGTCGAACTCCTCCAGTGGCTTCGTTGAATCTGAGTTAAAACACAAGGTGCCACGTTCAGGCAGAGTGAAAAAAAACCTTCAGCTTTCAAAAGCTAAGTGGTGTTCAGGTGAACACTCAAGTAACCTTCTCTGGGTTCGCTCTCGAAGATGGACACTTTAGTCCCATCAAGGACCACGTATTTCCTCTCCCAGCCTTGGCCTCGCTTTCCATTTCTGCAAAAGCAGTAGCACAATGTTGAAACAGGCCACCAGTTTTTCCATTAACACCTTCCTCACACATGTATCGGATAGCTGGCATTTGTCAAACAAGCGTATTTTTTAAGACCAACACTTTCCACACAAAAAATGTTTGTCGGCATGTGAGTGCAGCATTGGGGCGAGCTTCAAACTGAAGCATTTCAAAGAGTTGAATTTGTTGCACTGTCCGTTTTTAGTCAGCACCCTTACACCAACCTCCGTCTGTATAAATCGCGCACAGCATTCATCGCTGACCCTGATCCTATCCCGCACATCGGTGAGTGAGTGAGTGAGTTGACCTGGGCTGCTTCATCCATCCTTCCAGGTGCATGTGCCCGCTGGCGTCTTTGAGCTGCTGGCCCGAAGAGTTGCCCTTCTCCCGACACGAGCCTTCGGAAAGATGCAGAGAGCAATCGCTCGACATGCCGCACGTCGCTGGAAGGCACGGGGAGCATTTTGGATGGCACAGAGCGTGACATTCTGAGGGAGGGAAAATATCACAAGAACAGCAATGGCATACAAAGTTGTGGCTCCTCAACGCAAATGAGCATTTATGAAATAGTGATATAAACCCTATATTATTTTATATGTGCCACATTGTCTTGAATATATATTTTTTTGTTTTTGCGTAGGTATCAATTAAAGTGACTCAGATATAATTATAAGGACCATTATAAGGTAAATATACCATTCTAAAAAACATTGCATTATGGCGTAAGACTGTTGAACTGTACTCCACATATATTTATCGATATTAGATAGCTACTATCAAACCTTTTTCATGGGTCGGGAAATTACTCAAAGGATTCAACATCTCACTTTTCAACTTCATGTTCAATTTCAATGTAGTAGTTTACACGATCATATGAACAAAAAAAGTACTGCACCAGTCATACTCCAAAATGCTGTGTCACTGTGGATTTTGAACAGACTGGGTTCATAATTTGTTTGACCTAGAAGACAGGATTGAAGTTTGGATTTGGGCAGGCTGAAGAGCTGAAGCGGCTCACCTACTCTGACTGTTGTGTCGTGAAGTTGAATTAAACATGGCGCCTGGATGGCTCTGGGGGTTATACTGCAGACTTTGGACACGGGAGGTGGGGTTCAGATTCTGGTCAGGGTGAATGGGTGAATGGCCCCCAAGGAAAATACCACTTGCTGGTTTGTTTCAGGAGGGACATCCATCCATCCATCCATCCATCCATTTTCTAATCGGCTTATCCTCACAAGGGTCGCGAGCCTATCACAGTGTAAAAACTTTGCCAAACATTGTGTGAGTGACTTGCTGTGCATCCCTGCCAGGGGTAAGTTGCTTCTCCCTCGAAGAAAACATTGGTAATAAACTTTGTATTATTTTTAACAAAAGCTATATACTGATAATCTGGTAAGCCATTTCTTGATAACTTTAACTCATTGGTAAGGGTAGTTGTTATCGCTTGTTGGATCAAAATCTTGACTCAATATGCTGAGCAGGGTTACAACAATTTGGGATTTTTCACTAGTTAGTTTTTACTTTTGTTTAGTTTTTTTTTTAAATTCTGTTATTTTTAAACATGTTTTTAGAGCAGGTTTGTAAAATTCTTTGTTTAAGTTTAGTTTTTAATAGTTTTAGAATTAGTTTTAGTTTTTCGATATATGGAGTATTTGGTGAGTGCAAGATGAAAAAAAAAAGAAAATGTCACTAAATATTAATTTAATAAAGTAAAATGCTGAAAGGACTGGTTTGACCTTCCTACTTCTGTATCGCAATACGGCAATTCCGAAACAGATATATTTAAAATGAACCCCAAAAGCTCAAGTACTGTATGATATTACGGTAAATGAAAAAGACAAAAACGAAGGGCATTTTTGCAAAAATTATAGACTAGTTCATTTTATAGATGTAAGATGTAGTTTCAGTTAGATTTCACTTCATAAAAAAAAAAAAAGGTTCATTCTTACCAAAAATATTTTTTTCCAAATTTACTTTTAGTTATTTCATTAGTTTTTGTGAACTAACCTTTGTGCTGGGTCAAATCCTCAACCCAGCACCGGGGACAGCTCCTTTTGGACAAAGAGCTGGGTTAGCTATTTCGCACCATTTGGGTTGCTTTTGACACAGTAGTTTTAAGAACATAGTTTTGTTATGATGTTACGCACCGCCATGTTTGGAGATCGACACATTTTGTTTTGTGCCTCTTGAGTGTTTATATATCGAAGAAAATAGAATAGAGAACCATCCCGATCTCACTCGCCAACCTGGCGGACAAATACTGCTCACGTGAAAGAAAACTATCTGTTGCATAACTGGCACTCACCGAGACAGGTGGCGGCTTGTCGACCGAAGTGCACAGTATCCAGGCAAACGGTACACTTGGCGGCGCGCATGTTGAGTCCCACTGTGAAGCGGTGAGCGGTGTGGTGGTGTGCCCTCTCCCTCTCTCTTTCCCTCTGACTGTCTTTCATTCGCCGGCTATATTCTGAATACAATAAGGGCCGTACCGTCAGAGAGCAGGGCCCTTCATTTCAGTCATATCTTGTTCTATCAAACCCTCGATACATCATGCCATACCAACTATGAAATCGGTTTAAAAAAAAGTGGTTTCAAATGATGTTGAGGACAAGAGCAGCTGAAAACTGAAACTGAAGTCTAAATGGCTAAATTCATCCTTGTGCTTGTGACGACTGGCTGGTGCACTTAAAGGCATTATGCAGTCAATAGTAAGATTTTACTCGAAGTTTGCATACCTTGGTCAGCATATAAGAGTAAAATCACTCAAAACAGTATGACAAAAAAAAACTATTTCACTGCAGCTTCACCTCGAAGTTTGCATACCTTGGTCAGCATATAAGAGTCAAATCACTCAAAACAGTATGACAATAAAAAAAATATTTCACTGCAGCTTCACTTTTTTTTGCTTTACCTGAAAGTCCGTTTGTGTCTTTGTGTTTGCAACATTAAGCCAGCCACTTCTCAAGCCAGCCATCTTAATCGATGCAACTTTGACTTCATATCCAGTAATTTGCCCAATGAGGTGACTGAATAATACCTTTAGATTGGGATTCCTTATGTGACACAAAGTTTTGTGCCTTTCAAGCACAAGTGGGATTGTAATGGGTGGATAAACACTGTGGAGTTCCGCAAATCAGACTGCCTAAGCTTCAGCAACCAAGATAACAATGCGGCAGATTTCGAAAGCTGTGCACTGCAAAACTGCAAATGTACTTTTGGCCTGCTGGGATGTGCCACATTGTAGGCATGCACAACTTTGAAAAATCTGGCTTCTTGAGGGATGGGTGAGGCAAAGGGAGACAAGGGAGAAGAGACCAAACTGCAGGTGTCATGAGTTTGGGGAAACTTACTTTCAAATGTGACCCTCCTCCTTTCTGCAAGGTGTGTGAAAGAGAAAGGATCATAAGAGAGCATTTTTTTGTGTCGGATTATATTTGTGTGCAGGAAAGGGCCGGGATATTTTGAATATGGCGTCGTACTCCCATAGTGGCTTTTTGAACAAAGATGTCATCATCTTCTGACTCACCCTCAGGCGTTGCAACCTCCTTCCTGCGACCCGAGTTGGATGGCACCAGGCTTGGTGGGACTTGTTGGTGATCGGGAGACTTCACCATGGCAGACATCATCATCTGTTGTCGTGCCGCCGCTGGGTTTGCGGAGCTGCTATGATCCTTGTATTGCAGCGCTGGGATGGAAATCGCTTGTTCATAACATTGCTCATCCTGGAGCAGAAAAGTATCTGGCTGCTATTATTTGCGTGTTGGCTCGCCTCTTTGCTCTGATGAGCATGAAAATAATCCTGTTAGTTTTAGTTGCTACGGCAACAGTGTGGCGCAAAAAGAAACGACCTCAACGTCTAATGGACTTTTTGTGCTCTTCCAAAACTAGAGATGATGAACCGTTCCTACCTTCTTCTCTGAGAGATCGCAGTTCGGCTCTCATTTTCTGAAGTGCATCCTCAAGCTCAGAGCAGCGAGTTCGCTCTTTGTCCAGGGCTACCTTCATATCACTGTACTGCAGGGGAACTGGCTGGATGGAGGACACGGGCGAGACCTGACCCTGACTTTGTCCCTGGGCTTGGGCCTGTGCCTGAGCAGCCATGGCAGCCAACAGGTCCTCTCGCCGACGCCCAAAAAGACCCTGGAAGGATAAACACAGCAAAAGGGAAAGTAAAATGAGAACAGAGAGCAGGTTTTGTCTACGCTTTGATTCTTAGTATACGTATGCGTGTGATTGTGTGTGGGTCTAGGGGAGTGCAATGTATTTATATATTTTTTATGTTTTTATATTTCACGACGCACTTGGGGGTGGAGGCTCCTGCAGAATTTCGTTGTAACAAGTGTGCAATGACAAAGTATTCATTCATTCATACGTTGTTGTTGCTGTGCAGAGAAGTTAGTGGGAGTTTTAATGACCACTTATGCGTGACTTCATCATCCATTGTTGCCTCCGGATTTCACTTTTATAATTAAGTAATTTCCAGCTCTCCGCATAGTCATTTAAAATATGTTCTTTTGCATACAAAATCAGACCGAAAAGATAAGGTAGAACAATGAAAAACAAAAGAAAAAGACATTTCCTGTCTATGCAACTGAAGTAGAACCGACAAAATATCGTGAATGTGTTTCATGCCTGTGGCTGCACATTTCTTTACCTTGCATTATCTGCACTCATAGTTGGCATGTAGAAAGAGTCACAACTTCACATTACAACATGTAACTTTCTTTCCGAATCAGCCCAGATAGGATTGATAGGATTTTGATTTCAAGGATGTTTTATACACCAAGTATAATCTTCAGATACAAACCCAATTCCAATGAGATTTGGCATTGTGCTGAACAAAAATAAATGTAATGATTTGAAAATCATGTTCAACCTAGACACTACAAAGACAAGATATTTAATGTTCAAACTGATAAACTTTATTGTTATTAGCAAATAATCATAAGCATAGAATTTTACGGCTGCGCCACATTCCAAAAAAGCCTGGAACGGGTCATGTTTACCACAGTGTTACATCACCTTTTCTTTTCACAATATTCAATAAACATTTGGGAACTGGGGAGAGTAATTGTTGAAGCTTTACAGGTGGAATTATTTCCCATTCTTGCTTGATGTACAGCATCAGCTGTTCCAACAGTCTGGGGTATTATCCGCTGCATAATTCTCAATGGGCGACAGGTCTGGACTGCAGGTAAACCAGTCTCATACCTGCACTCTTTTACGAAAAAGCAATGCTCTTTTAACAAAACAGAATGTGGTTTGGCATTGTCTTGCTGAAATAAGCGGGGATATCCATTTAAAGACGTTACTTGAATGGCAACATATGTTTCTTCAAAACCTGTCTGTTCCTTTCAGCATGAATGGTGACCTCCCGAATGAGTAAGTTGCTGATGCCATTGGCACTAACACGGCCCCATACTATCACAGACGCTGGCTTTTGAACTTTGCATCCATAACAGTCCGGATGGTTCTTTTCTTCTTTGGCCTGGAGGACACAACGTCCACAAGTTCCAAAACAATTTGAATTGTGGATTCTCAACTCAACTGCATTTATAGAGCACTGTAAAACAACCACCGTTGTATACAAAGTGCTGTACATGGAGCAAAAAATAATTCATACAACAATCATACATGAAATTAATAACAAAGACAGTAGAAAGCACCAAAATAGTAAAACTAAAAATCAAGTCTCATGCTGAGTCAAAAGCCAAAGAATAAAAATGAGTTTTAAGATGAGTTTTAAGGAAGGGGGCTTGCCTAACCTTCAGTGGGAGGTCGTTCCAAGGAGAGGGACTTGCAACTTGTCAGACCACTGAACACTTTTCCACTTTGCATCAGTCCATCATCGGGCCCAGAGAAGTTTTTTTGTTGAGAAATGGCTTTTGGTTTGCACAGAAGAGTTTTAAGTTGCACTTAACGGGTGATGTAGTGCCAAACTGTAGTTGTGGTGACATTAGCTTTCTGAAGTGGGCCCATGTGGTGATATCCTTTACATACTGATGTTGGTTTTTGGTGCAGTGCCGCCTGAGGGATCGAAGGTCACCGGCAGAGTTTTCAGCCTTGCGCCTTACAAGTAGTGATGTCTCTGAAACTTCTGATGATATTATGGAGCATAGATGACATTTTATTTGTTCAACACAACATCCCAACTTCATTGGAATTGGGTTTGTATTTTAGAAAAAGTGGAAAACAAGGTTCACGTAAACCTTTTCTAAATTTTCTTTGTTCCAAGAATATAAAGTTACAATAACTAAGTAGTCCCCCAGATGTAAGACTTCACAGAGGTACCTCTGAATTTGGGTTACATGCCATCCGGAGGCAACATAACAACAACGTGGAACACGGTGAAAACAAATTTGACACCCCTACACATAAAATGATGTTTCGAAGAGTCTTCTCGCAACATAAAAATGAACATTTGTAGACATCGTTCAAGTGACTATGAAATGTCATCTGACCTTTTTCTTCTTTGAGCCACCATGGGCCTGGGCTTGGAGAAAGTCTATGAGCTTGGTCTGCTGGGTGATAGTCCCCTCCATTTTCACCTTCTCATGGGAGTACACAGCCTGCAGGTGGAGCTAAGTGAACATCACTACTGCCGTGAATTTCTCCTCAAATACTTGGCTTCATACAGAGAAATAATGCAAAATGTGGGCAAGGCCCAGCGATGGAATGTATGTGTGTGACACTCAACATGCTTTTGACGTTCAAATAAAAGAACATAATAGAAACCATATTATAATGCTACAATGAGCTGTGCTGTAGTCACAGCAGCCGATAACAATACCGGTAATGATCATAAAAACAGGGATAATGTGAAAAAAGAGTGGGGTGACGACTTTGGTTGGTTATTCCGTATTGTCTGGTTTGCCTTTTTCATTCCGATAGCAATGCTAGTACAAATCACAAAATAATTTGTGACTTATTATGAAACTGAACACAGTAAAATTCCAACCAGAGTATAGGAAGCAGCAAAAATTCAAAGTTTTCCTGCCACTCATGCTGTTGTTTAAGATTTCAGTTGCTATGTATTGCCATGTGTATCTCATCTATAGAATTAGTAGCGCTTGCCGATAACCAAATGTATTAGCGCCGTCACTGTTCCTTTAAGCAATCAGATTTCCAATTCATCCTCAATCTGAACACATTATGCCATTTAATATTGAGAGATGTGAAATGTATTCAATTGACAGTTTATTTGGCGAAATACTGATTCTGAACTGCGCCACATGTTCATGGTGCCAGTTGCCATTTGTTTTGTTTCGTATCAACGGTTTCTATAATTGCGACCTGAAATTGGAGGTATTAAGAAGTGGATTCAGTTTGGCAAGTCCCCTCTGAACGTTTTGGATCCCAAAGGCCAAATGTATATACACATTCATTTTGCAAAAGAATCACTAATCTGTATTAGATGCAAGAGACATTGAAAGAAAGAAAAACAACTCAAAATGCTGGCTCTGGTGCCCCTCGTATGAACACTTTTCAGTCTAATTCACTGAATGGTGACCACAACCTTAGCCGAAGATATGCACGTTAATGTAGCATAGGATTTATGTACAATAGACATGCAGATGTAGTTTCCAGTACAGTAAGAGTGTGTACATGTAGCAGCACCTGGATGTTCTCCAGCTGATATTCCAGGTCAGTTCTTTCAGTTTTCAGCAGGTCAGTCTGGTCCAGGGCATCTTGCAGGCCCTGGGTCAGACGAAAGATATGTGCCTTCTGAGCATCCATCTGCTGCTGAAGCTTCTCTTGCTACAAAAGAACAACGGATGAGATGGCACATAATCAGATTCCAATACCTTTAACATACTTTAGCATTCAGCCCAAGGACGCTACAAACTTCCAAGTGAATTTTGTGGCTATTTTGTCATATGTTGATTGTGTAATGATGTCATCAATTATCCCTGATAATGTGTGAAAACACTGAATGGACCTCATCCAACAGCCGCTGTTTCAGATCTCTCTCACTCTCCAATTTTTGCTGCAAACTACGCGCATTCATCTCCAGCATGGCATGCTTCTTCTCCAAATCGTTCAACTAAACGATAGAAAACAGGATGCGGTCACTGCAACATACGCAAACCACGGAGGCTATTCGATACTTGTGCTTCAGGGCAAAAACACTCACGGTGTCTGCAAGGCTCTCAGCTTTGAGTTTCTGGTCTTTGAGAATCTGCTGCAGTGCCAACATCTCAGCTTTGTGCTCCTTAACGGCCTGTTCCACAGCCTGACGAGACTCAGTGCTGCGCTGCTCAGCACGTAGTCTGAAGGACAGAACAAAAACTTTTGTTTTTCTTTGTGTTTGAGACATGCTTTTATTGCTCAACTGTGGTATATTCCGAAAGAAGTTACCAATCAATGTTCCAGCTAAGCCACACAAATCACATGAACATTGTAACGTCTGTTTCTTGTGTGAGGGTGTTTTGTGTAGCAAATTCCCCTTGCCTTGACGAGCCCACATTTTTATACATAAAGCACATACTGTTTGGATGCAGAAGACCAAGAGATGATCCTTTGAGAGAGTAAGCCCAAGAGATGATCCTTTGAGAGAGTAAGCCTTTTGCATCCAGTGAGTGTAGGTGGAGGCAAGCAACGACAATAATAGCAAACGCAACCTACCGATGTATACGGTCACTTATTATTCTTTCTGAATATGTAACAGGTATTGTGATTACATAAGATCATGGCCTATTGAAACTGGTATGACAAACTAAACCTATTTTGAAAATAATTGATCCACTGAACAAGTTTTCATATTCTTCCCACTTCTGTGTGTTTTAAAGGAAAACAGTGTTCAAAATGGTCAGAGAATATCATTAAATCTTGAGTGCATTGTGTCGATTAAAGCCAGCGTGTTTTCTATTAACCTGTTCTGTTTTTCAGTGTCCAGCATTCTTTGCACCTCCCTCGTCCGCCTCTCAGCCTGGTTCTTCTCCTCTTCTAGTGTTGCCCTCCAGGCATCCCACTGTCTCTCCTTCTCCAGCAGTTCATCATTTAATGTCTCAAGTTCCAGGACTTGCTCCTCCAACATCGTGCACGTGGTCTTCAGTGTTTCGAGATTCTGAATAAAAGTGAAGGGTTAGGGTAGATGATGCATGTACTTTGATTTATTTCTTCGCAAAGATAGTGCTGAATTTTGATTGACATTGTCAGAAAGGCGTACAATGCGGGTCTGCTGCGCGCGCCGATCAGACGTACCCACAAAATAAATATTGTACTCTAAAGTTTTTTTCACCTAAAAGCCGCACATACTTAAACTGCACGGTATTACCCCATCTTGTGTGCAAAAAGTTTCAAGTCACTAAAGTTGAGAATACTTGAAAAATTGAGATGTAAAAAGTGCCAAACTTACCATAGGAAATAAACACGTGAAAAGACTACAAAGTACGTAACACAGAAGCCAATGGCCGCAAAAAAAAAAAAAAGTTGCATTATCAGCGTAGTGGGGCCTATCCCAGCTGTCTTCCAGCAGTAGGCTGGGGACACCCTGAACCGGTTGCTAGCCAATCGCAGGGCACACAGAGACGAACAACGATCCGTGCTCACACTCACAGCTCAGGACAGTTTTTGAGTGTTCAATCAGTCTGCCATGCATGTTTTTGGAATATGGGAGGAAACCAGACTACCCTGAGAAAACCCACGCAGGCCCGGTCAGAACATGCAAACTCCACACAGGGAGGCCAGAGCTGGAATCGAACCCGGTATCTCTGCATTGTGAGGTCGACGCGCTAACCACCCGACCACCAGGCCGTTTGAACCAACTACAAAAGGGAAGTGTGAGGTGGAACCTGTCACACAGTGAAGCTGACTCTTTGCCCTAACATGTCATGACTTCTTCCTCCCTCAATCAGTGCATGCCTTCTTGAGTTGGGGGAAATAACTGTTTTGGGCACTTCTCAGTCAGTGAAAAGGGTGTCAAAGGAGTTCACCAATGACATTTTCAGTGGGCATTAAGACTTTTAGGGAGGATCAGATGTCACAACTGGGACCGATGCCACTCAAGTAGTAAAAAATATTTTAAAAACTGCTGACACAGATGAGTTTGTCTCTAACAGCATACAAAGCATCAAACTGAATTATAAACCCTTGCAAATATCATTTGGTTTTATAAGATGAAGAGCAGAGTCTGCTTGGGAAACAAACTAAACAGAGACAAGGAGATAGGAAAGTTGTCCAGCTGAAGGAATCAAGTCCAGCTGTTGCCATGCTGATCCTGATTTCTGCCGTGATCACATCAAAAATATGTATGCAGTTCCATCCACATGATCATTTTTCAAGATTATCCAACAGAATGTTGGAGGCATTTTTCCATATTAAACTTTTTTTTTTTGTTTTTAAATAACCGGGCACCAGACCTAAAATAAATGCTCAACAAATACAAATGCCTCAAGTCCTTGAACATGTAGGAACCAAACTGCCGTGATAAACGTTCTGAAATAGCTGCGGGGTGTCTTAAATTACACATTTTGACACAGGACATTTTTCTTTTTGCATCACACGGCCTACACAAAGAGCCGATCTTAAATGTTGGGAGATAAATATAGCCTGTGCTGGTCTTGCAGCATCACCACAGCTCTCTGAAGTCCAACGCTTCCACAGCTGACACGACCTGGGAGTGATGAGGATGACACATTCCGCCCTCCCACACACCACCGCATCCCTCGTCTATTCCTTCCAATGCTGGTTACACAACCGGCAGGACCGAGAGCGCTACTGGACGCCCACACGCATCCTCCCACTGGAGCAGAGCACACATCGCACAGCCTCCCCGCTCTCTTGCCGCTCGGCTCCAACCAGAATATTACACATTAGAATACAGAATTATTCAGAGAGATTCTGCTGCCAGATTTACACTTTGCAGTGTCAGAGCTGGGAGAGATGTCTTGGTCTCCTGTCACAGGTTGTGCAGGATATCACATAATGCATGTTAGTGAAAACCCAGCGTCTGACTGGCTATGAGTGGGAGGTGGGAAGAAAAAGCAGACTGAACTGAAAAACTATCGCTGGCTGATATAAATACATCCACACATTTTGTTTTGGAGAACAGGGTGGAATTTGGTGCAGAACGTTCAAACCAAGCAGACTAAAATGTTGCTTGACAGCGAGCTATGAAACTGTTTATGCAATTATTGTATTTTGCATTAGAGGATGTGGGTGGGATGCTCGAAAAAAATGGTGTGAAATCTCACAAAAACTGCTTTCAATTAAATCCCAGGAGGTGTGCACAGCAAAATAACAGCAGCACATTAGTACGTGAACACAAACAAAACTAAAAGTTTTGAAAATTGGTGTTCTGTATTTCACTGTCAACAAGAAATGGTATACTGTCCAGTTAAAATGTGTCTCACGTGTAAGGAGCACGCGTTTGGGCGATAAGCAGCCCAAATGAGCACTTGTTTGCATTGCACCCCTGTGAAATTTCCCAAATTTGCCTTCTGAGATACCAAACAGATTATTTTCTTGTTACGAATGACATTTTCTTGGGGAATTGGGAGGGGAGGAGGTTTGATTGGCCAAGGAGGGGCCACCAGGTGCCCTAATTGTAGAGTGATGGTGTGAAGCACCAGAGGTTGCATCTTCCTCACTGGGAAAAAATACATAAATATTTTTAAAATAAGTCTTTATATTAAGATGAGATTCTACAGGCAGTGGTCAAGTCCGCCTTTACCAACAGGCTTGCCTAGGCTGTAGCCTTGGGGTCCACCATATCAAAATCCATCCATCCATCCGTTTTCTCACGCTTATCTGCGGTCATACCGCGGGGGCAGCAGCTTTAGCAGGGAAGCCCGGTATCAAAATTTTATATATATATATATATATATATATATATATATATATATTTATTTATTTTTCTGTCAGCCCGTCAATCACTTAACATTCTGAATTGACCAACCCGGAGGCGATTCTGTCGGGCGCTCGGTCCGTAACTATAGTGTGAGCCAAGAGAAGGTTTTTCAGAAGTCTTAATAGCTTCATGTTATTTTGCCACTTGTTGACCTTTCTGTAAATTACTTCGCCGTGACACCACTTCACGAAGACTCCCGCTCTATGGCGCCAATCTTCATGCCAATGGGCCTATCGGAAGGCATTACATTCCACATCATTCTGCCATTTGTTTATTCACCAGTCAATCATATTGCGGCATCCACAGACAAATCACACACCCATACAATACACGACAACAATTTTCAGCCAATCCTGATGTGGAGAAAAAGCTCCGAACATCACGTGACCTCATCCCCACGTGCATATGTTTACGCACGGTAGCAGCAGTGCCAGGCGCAGGATTTATGATTGAGAGCAGTGATAAAATTAGAGTTTAGCAGTCAACATTTCATCAACATCTCACTTGAATTGAATATGAATAGGACAAAATGAGATACATACAAGATAGACAGTTTGGAAATGACAGCTCCCTATCAAGTGCCAGGGATGTTTTTTACAATTATTTGACATGGCAGATGGGGAGAACTACACTGGTGTATTCTTGTAATCAATCGCTGAGATCGAGCGCACCGGATTGGGCAGCAAGCAGCGCTGGGGGCTGCCGACCGGAGGACCGGAACGCTGGCTCTATGACCTGAAGAATGCTCATACCTTCTTTTTTCCCCTCTTGTTGTGACATTTTGGTGCACAGCAGCTGTCCACCATTGTCAAAATGTGGCTTTTTTTCTCAAATGACATGCACGTTTTTTTTACCCTGCCAAAATGGAATTGTTTACAATTAGCGCAATGCATTGTGGGATGCAGGTCATTAACATCCAGAGCTCTATGGATATGTGTGTGCTCATTTGGTTTCAGTAGTAGTTTGTTACATCAGTGCAATACTATAAAAGTATATTTTTTATTCATGGAAGTGACTGGAAAAAAATGCACTACTGCTTCCTATAACATTGGCTTTATCTACGCAGTCGAAGACCAAATTCCAGTCTGTCCTCCCAGATGACAACTCTCACACCAACAGGGTGGTCTTTACAGTATCAGAGACTATCTCAAGAATTTAGGGAAAACAAAGAATAGACCGGCCTCGCAATAATCCTGACCTAAACGTAATTGAACAAGTGTAAAATTGCCAAAATGTCCTTTTCCCTATTTGCTTCAATTTTCCAACCCACCTATGAATGCCGAACATTAAATCATTGAAGAAGATTAACATTTTGGCTAAATCTACAAGGTTGAAATAAAATGATTCAGTTGTGCTGCTCATTACTCACACTCTGTATTTTTTTGTTTGTTTGCTTTTTTTTTTTTTTTTTACTGTTCCACAATACAAACTTGTACCATACCACTTTCAGGCACCCTTCATCGAGGTGCCAACCACAGGGCAAAAGTACGCAAAGGATGGAGTTTGCAGTTCAATGATCAAAAAAACTAAATGCACCTCTCAAAATGTGTCTGATTGAAATGAACAGCAACCTTCCAAAAGTCAGAACACAAAAAAGGCTCCCATTGGCATCCTTTATTGAATTTGTCATCGAACTTCTTCACAAGTGAAAATAAAAGCCAGATGAAGGTTTATCGATCTTAGCTGTAACGTGACAACTAAAATGAATTGTGACCTGCCTTGTAAAGTGGAACGGTGGCATTTTGCTAAAACTTACAATTCAAATGAAAACTACTGAACACATTATTCTTAAATATGTAATGTGTGCACAGCAGTCAAAATGTATTCTATAATTGCACAGCAAACCGCAAAGGGATTACCGCTACAGAGAAACCAACTAGCAATACAAGACAGCCAGCAGCTCACCTGTTTTTGGTTGTTAAGATGCATCTCACGGTCAGCCACCTCTCGACGTAGTTGGTCCACATCCTGGCTGAGCTGCAGGCGGTCCTCTCGCTCGTCAGATGCGTCATCCAGCTGCTTAGACAGGTAGAAGTTCTGGCGGTTCAGCTCAGCATTCTCCTGAGTCAGTGAGGTCAGCTGTTCCTCCAGGTCGGTGATCACCTGTGGAAAGTTAGTGACACAAAAACACGCAGAGGAACCACTTCTAAGCTGTCTTCGGGTTTTAAGTTAGAAATATCATCGCCTGATAGCCATCATAATTTCATGGGCTAATCATGTCTTTCTACTCTAATCACGCATACTCGCGACGCTTGCTCTTGAGTCTGATGAGGGGGCATGTGAACAACTCCCCCTCCATTGTCAGCTCTCAGGAGAACATGAACCGTGCGTAGATTCAAGGGTTGGGGGAAGGGCATCAGGAGCAAATCTTTTATGCGCATAAATGAGTTGTTGCGCTTCGACTCAGAAAATCTTTTCCCCTCAGGCAGCAGACTGACAGCAGAATCTGAATACTTGAGTCTTGGTGCAAAAGTCAACAGTGGACGCCGTGATGATCTGCAGAGTCTCCACATGTCTGTCATTCAAGTACCTTGCCCTGCCACACGGCCTCGCCAGTGCCGATTGCGTACTACTAAAAACTGGCTGTGGAAGCTGCGATAATACAGAGATTAACAGTAAAAAGAGAAAGAAAGTTTCTGATTTGTTGTTTCTTTCATGGCATTAGATTTGGAGGCTACGCAGCATCCGGAGCAGGAACACCAAGCTGAGGAATAGCTTCTGTCCGGAGGCTGTTGGACTATCAAATACAGTGGAGGCGCACCAGACCCATTGTGGATCTCCATTTGGTGCCTAAGCAGCTGAACTTGATTTGGGGTTCATCAGAGGCACTTTAAATGGTGGCAGGCATGTACGGACTCCGCTTTAACATGGGTTTAAATGTGATTGATTCATTCTGAACACAGACACATCTTCAGTTATAAGAGGGTGTGCACATTTGTACAACCACATTCTATAATTTGTTTATTTTTACTTGCCCTCTAAAATATTTATTTTTTGTTTGCTTTAATTGCATTATCCAGGTTATAGATCCCATTAATGGGGGATAAAGCTTTGGAAATGCATCCGAATAGGACCGTCTAGTCCTTTTTATATCCACTGTACTGTCGTACTATATACACATAAACATACACAACAATAAGTCAGTAACCTTGATGAGTAGATGACAGCCAGTATATTCATGCAAAGACTAAAACATATTGTGCTGCTTACCGCACAGCTGTCCCTCAAAGCATCATACTTCCGTTGTATCTCATCTCTGTGTGCCTGACAGATTCGACAATCGAGACAGTCACATTTCAGCCAATGAGTAACATGGCATCAAAAAAATGTCCTCCTTTCCCATTCATGTCTCACTCTGAGCACAGTGATCTCCTCCTCAGCCTCCGCAGTGGTCTCCTCGAGCTCAGTCTTGGCATGTTGCAGCTGGCTCTCCAAAGCGCGGCGAGCCGCCTGGAGGTTGGTGATCTGGGCTTCGCGCTCCTGCAATGACAGGGTCACCTCTGTCACCTGCCGCTTGATCTCCAGCTTCTGCTCTTCGTGCTCCAGTCCAATCTAAGAATACAGATGGAGGGAGAATCCACATTCAGGGAGGAGCATGATGTTATATTGAAATGGGATTCGCTGGATTACCTTGAATAATTACTGTGACTTTAGAACTATTCTCAAGATCTTAGTAAGTCATTAAACATCAGTAATGTAACGGTAAAGGCACCGGTGGTGGAAAAAGAACTTTTTTTGCAGCTTGCCATGTGCCGAGTGTCTTCTTCTTGAAACTGCTCCCAGTGCTCGGTTCAAATGGGATAAAGCCAATGCTGGGTAATTTAAACCCAACACATTAGGTTGAGGATTTGAGCCAGCACGTTGACACCAACCAGAGATAAAAATGACCCAGCCTGATGTGTTAAAGCAACCAAGAAATGGGTTAATAGTGTCGCTGTTGTCAAAAATAATACTAATTTTTTACCAACAAAAACAACCCAATATTTTTAGTGTACATAAAAGCTCTATCCAGCTATCTATCTAGTTAGCTAGCTATGGCCACAATATATCAATTTTTCACTCATTCATTCTTCAAACTGTGGCAAATCTTCACAGTCACTAAGATTCAAGCTTATCCACTGCAAAATATACAGTAAAAGCTGATGATACAGAATTTCAATATGAACCTCTCTGAGCCTGTTTTCCAGCTCCAAAACCCGACTCTTGTGCGTATGCTCTTGGTGGCTTGTTTTTTCTAGATGCTCCTCAAGTTTGGCATTCTGGGCTTCCAACTTCCCAGCCTGAGACTCCAAGTAGAACTTCTGCTGGCGGAGCTCTGAGATCATCTCTTCCTGGGCTTTCCTGCCATTACAACACATCCAAAGGTGTAAAACGCTCAGTAAAAGGTGCACACAATCTAGAAATAAAATGCTCAAAACAGCATACATAGACGAGGGAAATGGGCAGCAATCACTACTTACATATTTTTCTGGGTGTAAATGCTGCTGTTGGCTGCTAGTTTGTTGGCCTCAGACAGCTCAGCAATTCTCTGCTCCAGGCTGTTCATCTTAGACTCCATTGCGTTTATGGTCTGGATGAAAATGATTACCAGTAGAACTTGAAATAATAACTGGGAGGCAAAGATTTATAGTGCAGACCTAGGTATTGGGCTGTTTTGTGCCTCTAAAATGAAGAAACCCAGATCATCTAAACAAGAAATCTATGTCAGTTTGATAAATGTGAAAATATGGCCGAAATAGTGTCACTTCCAAGCTGGTCAGCTCTTACCGCCTTCTGTTCACTGATGATGCTGCACTTCTCGCGAACCTCCTCCTCATATTTGCTCTGACTGGACTCCAGCATTTCTTTATCAGCCATGTCCGCCTTCATTTGAGACTCCAGCACCTGCCGGGCAACCCACAAAACCAGTACGGTATATCACTTAACGGGACAAAGGATGGTGAGAAGATGTACACCTACAGCTCAGGTGACAAAAGCTACACTTGCTAACATTAGGCATGCATTCTATTATTATTGTTGTTTTCATTGCACAGTGAGTATATATTAGTTTATTTAACCTTAATCTTATCTTCATAGAGCTTCTCCTTCTGTTTGAGATGTGTTTCCATCCTCTGTGCTGTGGCTTGGGAATCTCGCAGACTTTCCTCAAGCTCCTACACAAAAGTAATGCACTTTGTATTAGACCAGTGGTTCTTAACCTTGTTGGAGGTACCGAACCCAACTAGTTCATATGCACATTCACCGAATCCTTTATTCCTCATTAGTGAAAAATAAAAACGTGATTTTTTTTTTTTTTTTACAAATTCAAGACAGAAAAAAAACACATTTATCAAAAACAGAAAAAACTAAATAAAATTTCAAGACATAAGTATATATATTTTTAAATTGTGCACAAAATGAACCAGCCAGTGATGGCCGTGTCATAACTGATTGACATGTTGAGTCAGGTGTGCCTTAACCTTTATGGCCGAGGCTCCGTCGAACCCCCGAGACCGATTCACCGAACCCAGGTTCAGAACCAATGTATTAGACAGTGCACATTATCGCAAAACACCGGTAAAGGCTAACTCATTTTGTATTGTCGTTACAAAATTCCCATCTTATATCTCGATGCATCCATTTTCTACAATGCTTATACTCTTTAGCATTGCAGGTCAGCTGGAGCATATCAATCAAAGGGCACATAGCGTATAGACAAACAACTCATCACGTTCACTTTCTGAAAGGATGCCATGCAAACTTGAACCTTTTCTCGACAAATGTAACAAAAACAATCTCACAGCTCCTCTGATTATTTTAGAGATGAAAGATGGGTTACCAGAATTTTATCTGCCATCTGCTGAATTTGCTGGCCCTTGCTCTGGATGTCATCCTTCATTTTGGTCTCGCGGCGTTCAACAATCTCAAGCCTTTTCACCTGGTTCTCCAGTGTCTTTCGACCATCCTGCACACGCCCACACAAGTGCAAACATCATTTCATGTTTTGGGCATGATGGTTCAGGCAATATGGATGCATTCTTAAGTGTACAATATCACCCTATGAACCTGCTCTAAGAGTAAAGTTTAAACAACATTATCAGAAAATTGTAACTGGATTGCTTGATATTGAATACAAGCCACGGCATTTCATTTGCAACTTCTATGGAACAGCAAGCCTACACTCCTCTGGAGAAGTGTTGGAACAGTGAGACTAAGTAATTTATTTTAACGGAAAACCAAAAAGATTTGGGCTTGCCATCCAACAGTGATGAATATGAGACAAGGGATCAACATTTCAATTATTTCCAGGTGCTGTACTTACATTTGAATTGGATAAACAACAAATGTGCTCAACCTATGACACACTGCCAGCATTAAATTTGAGCATTTTTTGTTTTGTGTATGTTTTTCAAGGATTTCACGACAGCCTCTTTCTGTTTTTTGGTGTGTGGACTCCTCTTCATCATGTAAAATTGACCTGGCCAGTCGAAAATGTCCCCATTCCTTGTCCTGGTTAACCCCTTTGTTGTTTTGGCAGTGTTAGGCATGTTCAAAAAAAGTAAGTACTGTAGTTATAGTAACAAATGTCTTCAGTTGCAGCACGAGTGTTGCGTGAAACTGGAAACCCATGAGCACGCAAATGTGAGCGTTAAAATGAGCAGAGCTATTGTGAGCTGATTAAACACTCACAAGCAGTAAGGAGCACACACTTTTGCTCATTATACTCTCCATAACTAAGAAGTAATTTTTTCCCAATGCCATGCTCGCTCATAGTTCAAGAAACAAAATTCACACATAGCCAGAACCAACAATCAACACATCCGCAGCACGCGCAGAACCAAGTCTAAATAAAAAGCAAAGTTTAGTTGAGCTTAATTTACCACATCGTGCCGTTTTCATTTTTTTTTTTCATGCCTTTTGGCCATTAACTTGACTTGTATCTGATGCACTGATTTGCAGCCAATACTGATATAGGTGGCATATTCATTCAACTCATATCCAAAAAGCATGGAAGTGTGGAGCTGACAATGTAGAGGTAAACATTTTGCTGGACAAATACGTTTGAATGTACTTGCAAGAACATTCGAAAATATTGAAATACATTTGAACATACTCGCAAGTATATTCGAACGCAGCCCGGCAAGCTACACCCACTAAGAAAGTGGGTCCGGAAAGCCTTCCCCCCACTGTGGCTGGGCCCCGGTTCAAGACCATGCGTTCAATCAAATTCGTTAATTTGCTGTGATGTATCCTGTGTGTGCAACATCACGGTTGGAGATGAAAGTCTGTCCTCATTCTAAGTGACGCGTGGGACAGACAATAATTTGTTTACATTCAGGATTTTTCCATAATGCCACAGGATATACGAAGTCAATAATCCGTGGCATTATGGAAAACAATGCCAAACGGAAAATGCACTGCAGTCAAAAATGAAAAACAAAACCCCCCAAAAATTACAAATAAAAAATGTTTTCCTGACTTCTGAACATGTAGTTATGAGTGCGTTCAAACGTATTTGCCAGCCGCATTTTTTTACTCCACATTGGCAGCTCCACGCCTACATAGAAAAGCACTATTAGACAAAAATCTAGTAAATCGCCACAATTGTGAGCACTGCTTTTTGACTTTAGCTTTGTTCATTTCCTCCACCCTGAATGTGTTGAGAAAAGATTCCATACACATTATGCATTCCATTTGATGAAACCATGACTGAGAATTGTACAGTAAACAATGAGATCCCAGCCATTTTGTATACCTATTCTAGTGCGGATGGTGACGACTTTGTTAATCAGTATCTGAAGAAATGTTATTACCATCTGCAGACGATTGACATCTCAAAATTGTGACGTGCTTTTAGTGCAAATGTATTCTTTCTTTGAATAAGCAATGGAAATGGACACACCTGGGCAACAAAGAAACAACAGTCAACGGCATACTTCAATATTTTGGCTCATGAAAAATGGGTAGTTAAATATAAGGTTTTCTAACCAAAGTATCAAAATCCCTTGTAAATATATGGCTCTTAATTCCCAAATGGAATCTCTTGTCTCATATTCACATTTTAAATTAAGACCTAAATGTTTGCACTTTACAGTTAAAATAAAGAATTGGCCTTAGAGTTCAAATATTTTGGAGGGGAGTGATGCTGCGGTGCTTAACAGATAAACAAGCCAGTTCTGGTGTTTTTTATTCAGTACTGCAAAATAATATGGTATGATTTATAAAAAAAAAAAAAAAAAAAGAAAGAAAACCTGTTGAAGTCAACACCCACAGGGAGCGCTATACTGGAGGTTTTTTTTTTTCTTTTTTTTCTGTACCTCAGTCTCACGGAGACGTCTTCGCAGACTGTCATTGGAGTCCTCCTTGTTCTGTAGCCTCTCGAGATCTCGTTCCATGCGCTCTTTGGCCATCTTCATACTTTGAAGATGGTCTGTAGCTTCAGAACTGGATTTTAATGCCTAGGAATTGATGTTCAATGTCAATTAATTTTGGTTCCTAATGGTGATTACAGTTCTTTCATCTGAAATAATGTTATCATATTTCACATAATAACTACAAAAAAATTCCAGGGACATTTTGAATGGGCCTGCTAATATTTGTGAAGAATGTGTGATGAGTTGTGCTTGCCCAGTGGAACTATTTTAGACCTTGGCGTCAACAAAAAAGAAAGTCTTTGCTCAGTACGTCAGACATTTGCATGTACTGTGTTGTGTCCATTTTGAGATCTAATCATCTGGAAAGACAGTGATAATTTGGATTTTCTTTCAAACATATCGTCACCACAACCTTAAAAGAGTTACATTTAGTCCCACAATGATTATGTTTTGTTTTCTTGCTCATCACAACGCTCTCAAATTCTGTTCTCCAGCCTATCTGTTTGGAGTGTAGGTGTGACATTCCAGTGGATGAAACAACTACAATCCAGGTGGAAGGTGGTTTCCAAAGTGCCCACTTCACAAATCTGTGACCTCCTTGGCCAACTTTATATCATCCGCCAGTTGAGGTCTACTTCCATTTTTTGTATAAATGTACTTTATGCACCTCAAACTGCTGCGGGACTCAAGAAAAACTTTGGCTTCTTCCGCCATGTCAACATCTATCAAAGCACCTCTTGCACGTGGCGCTTCAAGGGAATGAGAGGCTTGCCCCAAATCAAGCCTTTTTTTTTTTGTGCCACACGGAATCATCTTGCATGAGACTGCAAACCCCCCCTCCTAAAAAAAAGTAGTCTACAGCCCACCTCCTTGCAGACTTACATTGCGCCTCGCACCAGAATTGCAATGGGCACGAAAATAGAGCCCAAACAAACAAAGATGTGGGGAGCTATAAGTTGCAGGTCAGTACAAGGATCAAAACAGGTGGACTAGCAAATGGTTCAAAATATTAACTGCCCTTGGACCCCAATAGTAAAATAAATAAATAGATAAAATGGACTGAAGCATCTTTTTTTTTCAACACACAACAAAACAACTATACAGTTTATCCACACCTTCTTAAATTAAATGTTACAGTATGTGCAGAAAGTACTGTAGTGAAGGCCAGTGTGAGGGGGTGGTAAAGTTTATGTTGAGTGGCAGTCGTTAGTTCAGTTTATATATTGCATGTACTGTATCTATTCTTCTAATACAGATACTCATGCTAGTCTCATCGAGCGACACATGACAAAAGACACCAGCAAATTATTCCGATAGGAATCAAATGAAAACCTGATTTTCGTTAGCCGTGTGGATGTAAAATATGCTGGATGGTCAAACCATTTGGAAGGGTGTTGAGTTGGAATATTTGCTGTGTCTGGAGAAGGAGACCATTCAGAAGATCATTTCCAATTGGGGGAGCTTTTTGATTTCAAAAATGGGCCAAATCTGACATGAAGGCCACATTATAAGGGAAAGAATGACATCACAGATGATGAACAAAACTTTTATATGCTTATCAGAAAGACAATCGGGTTGTTTTCTTTCTTTTATCCAAGCGTGCACAGTTATATGAATTATTCATTTCCAAACAAGGATTTTCTACCTTGGCAAGCTTCTCTTGAAGATCATGGAGCTTTGCCTGCTGCTCTGAATTGGTCTAAAACCAAAATCACAGTTAAAAATATGTACCGTAGATTATTTGACTTTCTTCTGAAACTAGTCGAAATAGTCCAGTACTGTGAATAGACTCAATAAAATACCTTTTCCAGCTTGGTGATGAGCTCATCTGCTTCCGCTTTTCCTTGCTCTTTGGCCTGTGAACAAATAAATATAGAAGTGTCAGTGAGCTTGCCTTCAAATAATGCTTGGAAAAAAAAAAAAAAAAGATGCCCAAATCTACAGGCATGATAAAAAAGGCCCGATCTGAAAATGAAACACCTTCTGCAATCGATGCTGATAGTCTCCAGCCTTCCTCTTCAATTCTTCACTGTTCTGCCGAGACTCTTTCAACTCTGCCTCATACAGGTCGCTGCGACGACGAGCAGCTGACAGGTCCTCCTCCAGTTGTCGGATGGAAACTCGCATCTCCTCCAACTGGGCATGATATTCCTGTGAAGAAACCAAATCATTCTCTCAAACAAATTTTGAAAGATTTATGGAAAAGGGGGCGGGCCAGTGAGTGGTCTGGTGGTTAGCGCGTCGACCTCACAGTGCAGAGGTACCGGGTTCGATTCCAGCTCCGTCCTCCCTGTGTGGAGTTTGCATGTTCTCCCCTGCCTGCATGGGTTTTCTCCGGTTACTCCGGTTTCCTCCCACATTCCAAAAACATGCACCATAGGTTAATGGACCACTCGAAATTGTCCCTAGGTGTGAGTGTGAGCGCGGATGGTTGTTCGTCTATGTGTGCCCTGCGATTGGCTGGCAACCGGTTCAGGGTGTCCCCCAACTATTGCCCGAAGACAGCTGGGATAGGCTCCAGCACGCCCCGCGACCCTAGTGAGGATAAAGCGGTTCAGAAAATGGATGGATAAACGGATGGATGGAAAAGGGGGGCAGGGTGTTCCAAGTACAAGGTGATTAAATTCAGTCGAGTGTTAGTGCTCCAATCAGGTTGCTTATAAAATATCAAGAAATTAATATAGTTATACTTGTGTAACTACCACATGAAATGGAAGTGGAAAAGGGCTCACTGTTTGTCCCAGTATTTCTTGACCTGATTCCAGCTGGGAAAAAAAAAAAAAGTTCTTGTTCGACACTACTGTATCATTCATGTGAGCAGATGCATACATAAGTGATGCTGCTGACTACGTTCAAACTGCATAGGATGAAAAGACAGTAGAAATCCTTGAATTCAAGGCTGTTTGTGTCAGACAATTTGGTAGGAAGCACTGTTGGGAGTAAGTAGGAAGTGCCATAGTCACTTCATTTACCTGTCTGTCAAAAGGTGATTGGTTACAGCCTTGCTCTAATTACAAGAAGAGCATCCGCCTTATCAGGTTACATGGCACGTCTGTACATTCATCCGTCTAATAAAAAGTAACATCTCCTGACTCAGAGGCTCAGTATGGAACAGGGCGAGTAAAGCTAGCCAGGGCCGCAGATAAAATTGCTTAAAGCGTTGGGGAGGGGAATCAACTTAAGGAAGAGAATAAATATTAGGCCTAGGTTCAATGATAATGTTCCCCCTTAAAGGTCCTATTGGTAGCCATTAGTACGATCTGAATCTGAACCCGAGAACATGACACCAGATTGATGTTTGCGCTACTTGATGTCATATTTAAATACTATTGTCCCTTCCTGTCATCACACTCCTCCTACTTGTTTCCTGTGGGCATGTATCTTAAGCAATGGCATTTGATCAACCACACTTGCTCATACACAGAATGACAGTCAGTCAAAGCAAACAATACGACTCACACGTTACGGACCTGCTAAATATGCCCGGAATGACACCACGGTGGGTTTTGCATATGTCACAGAGATTCATGGCTTGAGTGAATACTGCTATTTTTTTTTTAATTTGAATCAATCATCACTATTTACTGTTGATCCAATACTGCACGGCTTCTGCATGAAAATGCTAAACGCTGGCGTGCGTGGGAGACAGATGCTATTCAAGATGAAAAGCTGAATTTAGCTGGTGTAAATGGCGGTCGAAGAGCCCCCCCCCCCCCAATGTGTACATGGAGCAAGGTAGCACTTTTATGAACAGAGGATTTGACTCATATATTTGAAGATGCAAATTATGGTTTGTTTCAAGAGGGTTTGATGGAATATCCCATCTTGTTCGGTCACAGTTTTACTGCGGATGTGACACTTATCACCACCCACAAAATAATTAAGAGCACACGTTTAGTCCACGTTGTTGAAGAGAACCCAGAAATTAGCAAGAAGCAGTCCCTTTTTGTTCCTCAAAATCTGACACTATTGGGGGAAAGGGTTAAGATTGGCATTCTACCTCCAAATGAGCAGCCGAAATAAATTCCCTCCAGTAGTAATCCCTCAAACATGTCGTAACGAAAAAGAAATGGCAGCGAGGAAAATCATATAACCTCCAAACAGCTTCAAATGCCCTAACCTCCTGCATAGAGGCCTCACGCAGTTTTCGACTAGCACGACATATGATTTGAGTCGTAGCATTTAGATCATCACCACTTTATCGACTTAGAATCGCAAAACACAGTCAGATGCAGGTGTGGGTTTAATCAGTTACTGTATGTCTTGAACGCCTCGTCGTAGCGGCAAGAAAACGTCTTCCCACCATTTGTTCCTTCTTTGGCAAAGGCGGAGCAACTCCACCTGCATACACAGTGGTATCGTGCGGATTACCAACACCAGAGGACAAGGAAGTATTTAACCCCCGGATCCAAGAACAGTTTTAGCACTTGGAGTCACTCCCACGCATCCCAAAGTTAACCTCTTTCTCTGTTAAGCAAAACCATTCCATTTTTACATCAGAAAATGACATGACACTTGACCTTTGAGTGATTCCTATTCAATGCCGGTCAGACACAATATACAGTATATCAGCAACAATTTTAAAGATATCAACAAATTCAAAAAATTTGTCATTTGTACACATGACAAGACTTTGGGTAAATGTCTCAATAGCAGAACAAATGTTGCAAATAATCCGCTTTGGCGGCAAATATAGCGGTATATGTACAGCACAATAGATCAAACGCGATGCACACTGTCACTCAAATGGGAATATCTCGTCTGATTTCTGGATGAAGATGTGGTTGAAAATTCTGTTTCTGAAAGAGTCTGAACTAAGACCCAGCATCTCATCACGATCAGCCTGCCCACTGCATCAGCGCTCTCTTCACTCGTAGGTATAGGGCTCTCGTCACCATAGCAACCATTGCACAATGTATTCAGTGCTTGGTAACCAGCGCTGGAGTTCGAAGGGAAAAAAAAAGGGGTGCTTTTTCGAAAATAAATAAAATAAATTATGAAATAGTAGGGATTTCTTTATCCTCCTACAGTGTCAGTGTGAGAACTAAATTTCTGCTCTCACTGGTCAAGAGATATATAAACCCTGCATACTGTGACAGTGAAAAGTCGCAGACATAATCAATGTACAGTGTAACGTAGAGTGATGTTTTATAAGATCGGCACACTCAATTGGCCAAGCGTAAATAATTGATGCAATATGTGACACAATTTGGAAAAAGTCGATTTTCAGTTGTTATTCCATTCCAACCTTCAAAAAGTCGTCTTCAGCCAAATTCATTGAACAATTCACTTCATTCCTTCTGTCACGATCAGAATTACGGTATCAATAAGAACCCCATAACAGCACATGCACCATGTTTGAGCAAGGATGTCGTCCGTTTTGCATCATGAGCTGCTCCTGTCCTTCTGCAATCTCCCCACCCCCCATCTCTCTGATACACGCATTCCTTGGTTTCATGTCTAAACCTGTGCATTGTTTGTGGTTGACATGTTCTTGAAACTCTCTGTATTTACATTCATGGAGGTATCTCGTCATCATAAATTTTGACAATGATACCCGCATACCAAGGATTCTGTGATCACTAACTTGAATTGTCTTACTGTTGGAGTCACTGCAAAAACTAATTCAACACTTTTGGGTGGCAAAGAAAATGGCCATGTCCGGCGCCCCGATGGTCCAGTGGTTAGCACGTCGACCTCACAGTGCAGAGGCCGTGGGTTCAATCCCAGCTCCAGCCTCTGCATGGGTTTTCTCCGGATACTCCGGTTTCCTCCCACATTCCAAAAACATGCATGGCAGGGTGATTGAACACTCAAAAGAGTGTGAGTGTGAGCGCGGATGGTTGTTCGCCTGTGTGTGCCCTGCGATTAGCTGGCACCTGGTTCAGGGTGTCTCCCGCCTACTGCCCGAAGACGGCTGAGTTAGGCTCCAGCATGTCCCACGACCCTTGTGAGGATAAAGCGGTTCAGAAAGGGGATGGATGGAAAATGGCCATGTGAGTCATCTTACATCAACCAACTAGAGTCTGTTTTTCCACTTCTTGAAGTCAAAGCAGCAAGAAACACAAATCAACAGCAATTCAATGTGCTGGCAGATCGAATTCAGAATTTAGTCTCCATGAGCTCCGGACTTCAGGCAGGCATTGACACATTTTCCAAATGCTCGTGAAAATGCAGTCGATCTGCATAAAATGACTGTAAAAATGTTGCAAAATCTGAGTTTGAAAAGTCTCCAATTTAGTCACATCTTCTCAGTTTGATTTCAAATCTCCAAAAGCTTCTGGATCTTAATGTATCTCAAACCCTCCATCGCATAAATGTTGACAACATGACCGGATAGTACACTTCCATCTGTTACCTGTTCTTTGATCTCCTGAAGCTTGTTACTCTGCTCCCGGATGTCGTGGAGGAGCTGTAATGCTTTGTCATCCTCCTGCGTGACCTCCATACGAGCTTGTTCCAGACTACGCTTCAGACTCTGAAAGCAAAATCGAGAATGTCAGACATAAATACATAAGATAAAGAGCATTTCTCAAAGGCCTGCACTCATTGTAATAAACAAAATTACTCTATGCCTGTGCAGTTGGTGTCAGTGCCACTGTATCTACATACACTGCATTCTGTAATGTAGGTGGCGAGGTCCTGTTCGAGGATAGTCCTTTGAGTCTCTGAGGCTTTCAACTCGATGTCCTTCTGCTGCAGTACTGACTCGAGGTCAGACATCTTCCTTTGTACAAGTAAGATCTCCTGCTCAACCTGGACATAAGAAAATGACACTCAAACAATCCATCATGAGACTTTTACCACATTTGATGATTTAGGCTCCCACAGGTTCCCACTGTTATATTAAAACCACACTAACGGCAATTCCAAAGACTTCTTTGTAGGAGGCGCGTATATTGAACAATATTACACCATTTTGTCCATGAAGTTAATTGTGCCTATCAAATACTTAAAAGCTGGTGAACTGTTTCAATCATACCAAGGTCAACGGAAGTGTAGTTAGAATGCCAATCAGTCCGATGCCTTAGAAGGGGTTAAATCCGGAAGTTTAGTCATTATCAGAGGTGGGTTGGTACCCACCTCTGATAATGACTAAACTGCATTACATTTACTGCTTTACAATTATTTCAGTAACTTTAGGGATAAATTGTACTTGCCAGAGTAACAGATGAAACAGTACTTTTACTCCAATACATTTAAATACATTTCGTTTGGTACTTTTACATTTATTGATTCATTATTTGTGCAAAATTGCACCGAGCAACATTGACACAGTGCGCCTTTATCGCTGATCATTTTCAAGCCACAACCTTTTGAGATCGCATAATCAAAACCGAATGTTTGACTGAGGTAACAACTCTGGCACCTGAAGAGTTAAGCCAATGTTTGCATTTTAAGTGTATGAAACGTAACGGTTACATACGCAAAAATTAATATTTAAATCTTGTCACTGAAAATGCGCTACATTTTTAAGCAAAGGGATGAAGTTGAGACCTTGAGGCCTCACAGTTTTCTTGAGTGCGGACTGAACTGTCAAGAAGAGACACCACAAGACAGTGTATGGTTTTACCAATTTATTAATTGGGATCGATTGATCATGTTGGCACCGTACAACCCTTTTCAGCATCGCACAAATTGGATGTCTTACTTTTACATTTGCATGACCTCGAATACCTCCAAATTAGATGAGATACTGTATTTCGGTATTAAAAAGTATTTTGGGGGCGGGGGGGTCAAAGATGAACCATCCCACCATGCCTGTGAGAAACATCAAAGTACAGTGCTGCATGAAAATCATCAGCTTGAAAACGAGGGATTCCACTGTACGTCATATCTAAAAATAAAAGTGCAGAAAATCCACTTTAACCAGGCAGAGCGCATTTTTCTGAGAGGACCTCAAGCGGACCTGGTGTGACATGATCACACAAAAACAGGGTCAGGAATAATGGCGGGACCTGGTCCATTCCAGCAGACTAAACTGTGGTTTGTAGCGCATCTTCGGTACCCAGTTGTTGATTTAATTGTCTAGGTCACAGAACATTCCGCTATCCTGGTGTGCTTTAGATGCTACTTGGATCAATACTGTAAATTCCTTATTGACCTTTTTTCTGTCAACACAGAATCCATCCCAGCAAGCTGAAGGAATACACTGACTTAAGAAAATGCCACAGAAAGCAGGCGTTCTCTTTCTTTGATGACCCTCCGATGAAGAATGCAAAAAGAATTTTAAAATATGTTTCCATTTATTTTTTATATTATTTTATTTTTTGTTTATGTTCGTTGTTGTCAGACAACGTTTGAATTTGCATATATATTTATTTTTATTTGTTTGTGCTCCTGAAAAAAAATAAACATCCAAAATTACTCAATATTTACGAAGTACTTGAGTATTTTTTTTTCATTTAATACTTATTTACTCTTAGTCCAGTAATTATTTAGTAGAATACTTTTTACTTTTACTTGAGCCCTATTATTCAAAAGGAACGGTACTCTTGAGTACAATTTTTTGCTACCCTACTCAACTGTGTTTAGTAGATAAAGTTTTTATGTCACCGGAAAATTGCGTTCTCTGAGAATAACAAGCATAGACACAATACCTGTGACATGTGTCCAGCAATTCTGACAGTTTTGTTTCAAGATGGTCCCAAAGGGGCTGCTGTAATGGACAACTGGTTGTTGTTGTCACTGTTCTGATGGAGAGAAAGATGAGAGACATGAACACAAAAGGAGAAACATGTGGAATAAGTCACCTGGACTACAAAGGCCTGTTTAGAGGCTTTCATGATACAAAAACATTTATCCATCCATTTTCCGATCCGCTTTATCCTCACAATTGTCGCGGGGGGTGCTGGAGCCTATCCCAGCTGTCTTTTGGCAGTCGGCGGGATACACCCTGAACTGGTGGCCAGCCAATCGCAAACCACACAGAGACGAACAACCATCCGCGCTCACACTCACACGTAGGGACAATTTAGAGTGGTGCAGGGTTCGATTCCGGCTGCGGCCTTCCTCCTCTCCCTTTGCCTACGTGGGTTTTCTCCGGGTAGTCTGGTTTCCTCCCTCATTCTAAAAACATGGAAGACAGGTTAATAGAAGACTCTAAATTGTCCCTAGGTGTGACTTGGTATTCATCTATGTGTGCTCTGCAATTAGCTGGCAACGAGTTCTGCCCGATGACAGCTGTGATAGGCTCCAGCATGCCCACGACCCTGGTGAGACTAAGCAGATTGGAAAATGGATGGATGGATGAAATTAAGGAGAACAACCACCCAATCAATGCTTTGTGGCTGTTTTCTTCAAGTGGAACTGAAACCTCAGTCTAGGTGAAGGGAATTATGAACACTTCCAAATACCAAATAATATTGTGTTCAAGCTTCCACGAGAAAGCTGAATATGAAAAGGAATCTCACTTTTCTGCTTGACCACCGCACAACACTGCAAAAAAGGATTTAGATTACCAGTCGATTAGTACAGGGGTCCCAAACCGCCGGTCCGCGGACCGGTACCGGTCCGCCGGGCATTTGGTACCGGGCCGCACAGAACGAACTTGACTTAATTCCGTTTTATTTCGGAATACGAAAGATGTTTTATTTTGAAAAACTACCGGATTCTCCATTACATCCGTCTGTGTTACGCTTGACAAGCGTCAAGCCACGCTTCTCCTTCACGTGACCGATTACTTCAAAACAAAACGCATGCAGCAACGGCGACGAAAACAAAATTACGAAGTAGACTGGACATAAACCACACACTTGAGGTGTCATTGTTTCCTATTACCCCGAGATGGGCCGTCTGGTTGCAGAAAATCAAGCTCGGTGCTGTGGTGAGTCGTCATTTTCATGCACTTTGAATTTGCGTTGTATCGTATTTTGAAGGCATTAAACATTGCCATCGCGATCGGAGTGTTGTGGCCAGATTAGACGCTCCTTGTGTTTATTATTATATTTCGAAAACGCCACAGTTTTCATGCAGCTCATACCATACCATTGGATCGTAGTGTTGCGGTCAGATTAGACGCTCCTTGTGTTTATTATTATATTTCGAAAACGGCACAGTTTTCATGCAGCTCATACCATATTATTTTGTTGTATTATTTCCGCCACACATTAAATGCCGGTCCCTGAAAATATTGTCTGACATAAACCGGTCCGTGGGGCAAAAAAGGTTGGGGGCCCCTGGATTAGTACATGCTGAAATTAAGTAAAGTGACTTGCTTTACCAGAAGACTTTTGACATTTTGTGCGGCCCAGCCTGAACCCAGACCTGAATCCACTTGAAATTGTGTAATTCATCTGAAGCATGCAACACATGGTAGAGTGGCTTTCCTTGAAACCTGACAGATTTGGAGCACATATGCAAGGAAAAGTGGGCAAATGTTGCCAATTCAAGATGTGCCCTGCTGATAGACTCTTTCCCCGTAAGACTGTAAAAGTAAAAGTAAAAAAAAAAAAGAAAAGGTGCCTTTAAGAAATTATTGCATAATTTAGGCCTGTAATGCCTATTTATGCACCTAAAATATTCCACTATTCAGGATTGACACCAGAAACAGAATATGTACAACAAAGCCATTTTGTTCAGACAAAATTTATTTTCGAATGATTAGTTAATTGATGTTAAGAAACCCTTCAAATAATTACATCAGTCAAATTGTCATCATTAGTTAGTCATGCTTGTATGCTGTAGGAGATCCTTTTTGAGTCGGCCTATTTTTAGCTCCGAACTGCTAGAAATAGGTTGCTCATGTTGATGTAACTGTGTTTTCCACCACCACTGGATATATTTAGCAGAATGCGTGATCAAGAGCAAGGCAGAGGAAATCTTGAACAGAATATTAAAAGCGCTCGCTCCCCACCCACTTCTCCCAACTGGAACAGGCTGATCTTAGTCTTCAGTACAAGCGCATTGTGGAAATGGACTGAGAAGGTTGTTCTCGGTGTTGCTGGCTGTTCCAAAGCACATTGCTTTCCGATTTTAACGGCGTTCTTTGAGCGCATGTGTTCAGTCTTCTGTGCGCCGTCTGTGACCAGCAGGAGATAAACAACATGCGGTCCACAAGATCACAGGCAGTGGCCTCCGTGTCAAAAAAAAAAAGACTACATGCACTTTGTAGATTAAAAACAACAACCAAAAAAAAAATCACTTCTACTTCTTCTGTGAATAATTTCCCACAAATGTGGCTGCTGTAACAGTGTAACTCAGGAAGCATTCGGAGGCAGGGCGACCAGCAACACTGCTCAGGATGTGCGAGGTATGTCAGAAAAACATGCTTGCACATCTGCAAAACATTTTGACTGACACTTAAAAAACCCTTTCTGCTGCACATTTCTGTAATGCATCTGTGATGATTTCAGGGGGTGTGCTTCCACGCAGACTCCAGTGTTAATTGTCTGACCATGATGATATACTCTCTACGTGCATGCTCCCACCCGCAGTTCATTGCCAACAGAAAGATTAAATGACCTGTTCACTATGCAATGTCTAATACCCTTGTAATCAGACTCTGATTATAAGGGCAGCTAAAAATGATGAATCCTCAATGTGCCACAACGTAGATGTTGGACAAGAGCGCTTAGCTCAAAAGGTGTTTGATGGTGACAAGGGTTGCGATGGGTGCCTCAGGCAATATCTGAATGGACCTTGCTTTTTTTTTTCAATTCTATTGGAACAGAAAACGACCCCAAACTGTTCCAATAAAGTTAGAAGCCTTGTCCAAGCTGTCTTGGTAAGATGGGGAATTATCACAAACCACTCTTTGAATATTTGATAAAGATGTTTCTCTCATTACGTAACACTTCAAAGAGGTAGGAAATGTAATTGCTGATAATTGATGATTCAAACTATCATCACATTGAAGGCTTGCCTGACATGCAAACACCTTTTATCGTTTGGTGTGTGCGTGCGTATGTGTGTGTGTGTGTGTGTATATATATATATATATATATATCAGTGGCGGACCCTCAGGGCCAGCAAGGCCTTCTCTGCTGGCCTAAACATTCTCAGAAAAGTAAATTTACTTTTCTGAGAATGTTTAGGCCAGCAGAGAAGGCCTTGCTGGCCCTGAGGGTCCGCCACTGATATATATATATATATATATATATCAGTGGCGGACCCTCAGGGCCAGCAAGGCCTTCTCTGCTGGCCTAAACATTCTCAGAAAAGTAAATTTACTTTTCTGAGAATAACATTAATTTGTTATTTTATTTTCATAAATATGTAAACAAAATTATTCTCTGTATTCTTTACGTCATATTATTTCCACTTAGTCGAGTGGCTTTCAATGTTATTTAAAATAACATTGAAAGCCCCTCGACTAAGTGGAAATAATATGACGTAAAGAATACAGAGAATAATTTTGTTTACATATTTATGAAAATAAAATAACAAATTAATGTTATTCTCAGAAAAGTAAATTTACTTTTCTGAGAATAACATTAATTTGTTATTTTATTTTCATAAATATGTAAACAAAATTATTCTCTGTATTCTTTACGTCATATTATTTCCACTTAGTCGAGTGGCTTTCAATGTTATTTAAAATAACATTGAAAGCCCCTCGACTAAGTGGAAATAATATGACGTAAAGAATACAGAGAATAATTTTGTTTACATATTTATGAAAATAAAATAACAAATTAATGTTATTCTCAGAAAAGTAAATTTACTTTTCTGAGAATAACATTAATTTGTTATTTTATTTTCATAAATATGTAAACAAAATTATTCTCTGTATTCTTTACGTCATATTATTTCCACTTAGTCGAGTGGCTTTCAATGTTATTTAAAATAACATTGAAAGCCCCTCGACTAAGTGGAAATAATATGACGTAAAGAATACAGAGAATAATTTTGTTTACATATTTATGAAAATAAAATAACAAATTAATGTTATTCTCAGAAAAGTAAATTTACTTTTCTGAGAATGTTTAGGCCAGCAGAGAAGGCCTTGCTGGCCCTGAGGGTCCGCCACTGATATATATATATATATATATATACACACTGTATATATGGTGAGTGGTTAGCGCGTCGACCTCACAGTGCAGAGGTCATGGTTTCGATCGGGTACTCCGGTTTCCTCCCACATTCCAAAAACATGCATGGCAGGCAGATTGAACACTCAAAATTGTCCCTAGGTGTGAGTGTGAGCGCGGATGGTTGTTTGTCTCTGTGTGCCCTGCGATTGGCTGGCAACTGGTTCAGGTTGTCCCCCGCCTACTCCCCGAAGACAGCTGGGATAGGCTCCACCATCCCACATCGATAATGGATGGATGAAAAAAAAAATTATATTATATATATATATACACACACACACATACACACCGTGTGTGTGTGTGTGTGTGTGTGTGTGTGTGTGTGTGTGTGTGTGTGTGTGTGTGTGTGTATGTGCAGAAACGGCTCCTCAAACATAGAACAACAGAGCAAAAATGTTCACCATAACCACCGATCTGGAGGTCTTTTTGGAAGGTTGAATAATGTGTTGGCGTATGAGTCAGAGATGAGGAGGAGGAGGAAAGTGGAAAAGGGAAAAGGGTTGCAATCCAGTCTGCTGTGTGGTCCAAGTCCTACATTGCTGTTTGGGGTGTAGAGGCAACAGTCGATCAAAGAATACACTCGTTTACACCGACGGCGCCCAAAGGCTATGCTAACAGCTCCCCTGTTGGATACTCAAGTATGATCTTTCACTTCACCCTCTGCATATCATCTAGGGCAGATCTGAAATGGACTTTATTTACTCATTATTTGCAAATCAATAACCATGCTTGAAATCATCCCCCAGACATAAATGTCCACAGACATAAATATCCTAGATACCAAAAGCCTGCGCAGCCCTGATCAAATGCCAGGGTGGTGCAATTTATAAGAACAGAAAGAAAAAAAAAACTTTAAATATTTTTTTGTCCGATAACTTGCGCGAAGCAAGTGAAAAAAAGAAGAACTCTTGTCGAGAGGAGAAGTAAAAATAAGTCACTCAGACAATATGGTTGCACAAGTGCACATGCCCTCTTCTAACTTGGGATGGGGATGGGTTCAGAATTATCCAAACACATTGAAACTCCTGTTAAATGGGGCTCAGCACACAGCTGTCACCACTTCAAGTGCCTCTCATTAACCCAAAATAATGTTCAGATGTTCTGGTATGCTTTTTATAACTATTTTTTCATTTCTAGCATCCATCCATTTTCTAATCCGCTAATCCTCACAAGGTTCACGGGCGGGCTGTCTTTGGGTACACTGAACTGGCGGCCAGCCAATCACAGGGCACACAAAGACAAACAACTATCCGTGCTCACACTCACACCTGGGGACAATTTGGAGTGTTCCATTAACCTGTAACGCATGTTTTTGTCATGTGGGAGGAAACCGGAGTGCCCGGAGAAAACACACACAGGCATGGGGAGAACATGCAAACTCCACACAGGAAGGCTGGAGCCGGCATCGAACCCTGCACCTCTATGTACAGCCGACCACTGTGCCACAATCATTTCTAGCAAAGGCTGAAAATTCATGCAAACGCTGATCCCAAATTGTTCACGGTGGAGTATAAAGGGAAATGGGGAAAGAAAAATAAATTGTATGTCTGTGTGCGTTTTATTAATATTTTTGTGTTTAGTGTACACTGCAACCTCAGCATCCTATCAGTTTTACTTTTACAAAAAAGTAATTTTAAAAATTTCATTTAAAAACAGACGGTCACGTTTAACCTACAGTGGCGCGTGACCTCCATCAACGGAAGTTGTTTGCGGTCAGTGGTCTGCAATTCCAACTTACGATCAGAGCCGTTGCAATATCTCTTTTTTTCCAGTTTGTTTCATCCGCAATTGACCGATGACACTGGCAAAGAATTGGAATATGGAGCACCAGGAGAAGCTTTTTAAAACGGTACACGTGAGCTACAATAGTGATGTTCCTGCATTTAACACAGCAAAAGTGCGTCCCATGCCTCAGGTCACCCACTAAGGCAGGAGGTGATTTCCTTTTCACAAACTCACAAACTCTGGTATCTACTTTATTTTTCTGTTTCGTTCATGTTACGGGCCGTGATGGCTGTTGCTCATCATGGCATGCGCTGTAAACGGTCGATCGCCAAGATTGGTTGGCCTGAAAAGTAAATGTTTGGTCAAAAAAGGTTGGGCACCACTGTTGTAAAAAAAAATGCTGGGGTCAACTCCACCTTTAATGCAGCTTGCATCCCACATGAGCGAATCTATTTATGATTTGGGTCGTAGAAGTAAAACTTGGTTTTCAACACTCGGGTTTGAGCTGTTTTATGAAGCCTATGTGCATCTGCAGATTAAGCCTGCTCAGATGAGAGGTAAAACGTTTCAGAAAAGAGTCGGTTGTGAGTGGTTCAATGCCCTGTGAGTGCTGAGCTTCCATATATGATGGGAAATATTTTTAAATGATTTATCTTGATCTCATTTGTCTATATGACAAAAACCTGGCAGTCAATAGACTTTTTGCATCCACTGTATTTAATACAGTCACTTAACTTAATTGCAAATTGGCATGTTTTGTCAGTCCTCTAACAGCAAGCCGGGAGAAATTAACTCTTTACTGCCATAACAAGGTTGCGGAGATATGTTTGTTCGCTTGACTGTATTTGTGTGCGTGTGTGTTTTGAGTTTTTGTAGAATTACACTCACCAACCTCTTCATTGATATTCAGTGATGCTGTGCAGTTCTATAGCATTTCAAAGTTTATATGATAATAAAGGGGGGAAAAAAACACAGACCCCGCCCCTCTGTCAAATTGCAAACTGAACATTGTTGTGTCAAATCCCATTAGAGTGTGCTGATGAACCTAATCAAGTGGCCCATATTGTACTGACACAACCATCATAAATTCCAATGGAAAACAGGACAGGTGTTGAATTCCAAAAAAGGCTCTCGGGGGGGTGGGGACACTTGAGAACATGGAATGTTCTCTTCTCTTCTCTTCCATCTAACTCAACAAATATAATCTGAAGGTATTGTCATTTGTGATCCTGCTGAATAAGCATCAGAGAAGCAGCAAGCTATCTCCCCCCACCCCTCCCAAACCTGCTGTTACCATAGAGATTCCTCCAACCACAGTCTTCAGCTTGTCACTTTTTCCTTCAGACTTTGCAAGCCTAACCGAATAAGTGAGCAGACTGACTTCACCGTGTAATAGGCAGAGTCCGTAGTTACTTCATATCAAAACTTCTACGGTCTTGTCATTGATGGGTGTAACGTGAAATCAACCTGACAGTAGAGGCAGTCTAAATGCCACCGCCGGGAGTGAGGGCAATCTGCTCATGGGTATGCAACAGTAAGCTGAGCAGTGAGCTGAGACGCGAAGTGAGACAAAGCATCGCAGTCGTGACCAAAAGGAGAGTTCACTCTTCAAACAACAGGGCTGCTCTGCTGCAACAACACTATGTGGTCATTAAAGAGTGGTGTCAGGCAATCGAGACAGCATGCCGGGATGGTCAACGAGACAATGCTCTGCAGCTAAATCCATTGATCCGATTCTGCTTTCAACTGCCTATTTTAAGTAAAACAGCATGGCACTTACTCAGGACTGCTGCAGCTGAAATCTTTTACCCGGGTGCTCCTTAAAGACGGTACCTCCTCATCCGGTACAACCGTTCATATGGGGTCACTGTCAGAAGCCACCAGCTAGACTGAGAGCTTCGCTGGTTCATCAAATTTGTGGATGTCATCCTCAATGAGGAGAGAGAAGAGAGGAGAGAGTGAGCTCGACTCCCGAGCGCGGTTTACAGGGAGACCGAGAGGAGGAGAGGGTGGGGAGGGGGTGTGGGGGGTAGCATCATGTGGAAATGCAGCAGATCTGTGATCACACAGCGGTGGCTCTCCCTCTCTCTTCTGTATCAGTCTCACCCTTTACCACTCCCACTACCACCACCACCCCCGCTCTAAACTATTTGGTCGCGCTCCATGCTGCGGCAGCTGTCACTAATCATATTCATGTATGCAGCTTGAAATGCTGAGCCATACGCTGAGCCAACAGCGAGCACCCAGTCGTTGCAAACTAATGTAAGCTGTCAAAATTACAGTAGTTTTTAGGCAGCAGCGATGCAGTAACAGACTGTAATTTTCTATATTAAGTGACTGCATCTGTAATTTTAAGTATAATACTGGAAATAAATATCCAGTTAGTTGCTGTATTTTTGAGAACTGAATACAGTATGTTACTGCTGCCTGTAAAATATTGTAATTTATGATGATACAGTAAAATACTGTAATTATTATGTTTTTTTACAACAAGTAGCTGTATGTTTGCCCCATGTTGACTGTATTATTTCCTCAGAATTTCAAAATAAAACCCTAACAATGTTTTTTTAATGACTTCTAATTTGCACATTTTGGACCAATTCAAACCGTTCCAACTGGAAACTGTTCAGCTCATCCCTATCACATATTTGTCAGAATTTCAAAATAAAATCCCAAATTAAGAGTTTTATTCTTTGTTTGTTTTCCCTTCTAACATGCACATTTTCTGGACCGATTCAAACAGTTCCATCTTCGAACTATTCAGGTCATCCCTTCCACAAGATTGTGTACATTTTCAAAATAAAAGCTAATAATAAACATTTGTTTGTTTGATTTGTTTTGACCCCTAATTTCCATATTTCTTGATCAGCTCAAACCATCTTAAATTTAAGATGTTGAGATCATTTCTATTAATTTCACCATTTCTACGAACTTTTTTGTTCTGAATAAAAGCCAGCAATTAAGATTTGGCTGGTGACCAGTTCAGGGTGTACCACGCCTCTCAGTCAACTGGAATAGGGACCATCTTACCTGTGATCCTAGTGAAGACAAGTGACACAGCACATAGATGGAAGGATGGATGGATGGATGGATAAACGGATGGATGGATATTAACACCCAAATTGTTACCTGACCTGCAAAAATACACACACACACACACACACACACACACACACACACACACGCACGCACGCACGCACACTTTATCTGCAGAACAACAAACAGCCATTGTATGAAGAAACAGTCATGGTCATGCTTGACTCACTCACTCAGCCGCCCACTGCTACAGTTGAACATGTGGTCAGCTCAGCTGTCATTTACTGGTACGAGGTATTTACTTTAGAAATGATGGGCTCCAATTTCTGATGGGATTCTTATTAGTGTAGCAGGATATACACAGTAGAAACCACTGTGTGAAGTCTGAGAGGTTGGCACACTTTCTTTCGGATACGAGTTGAAAACAAAAATGGCCAGCATGGTTTCTCATATTTTGATTTCATTTTCTATGAGACAAAAATAAATCTCATGTACAGTAGCAGCAAAACAGAAGATCATGGAATCATTATAGGGAGAAGTCAAGTCAAAAATGGTCTTGACAATAAAATGTTCTATTTGCCACCCCTACTCTAAACAGGTGGATTTATTTTTTTTTTTTTGCTTAAGTCATATCCCACAAATGCAATATTAATCATAATACCATTTTTCGAAAATTGCAGCCGCATAGAACATACAAATAAAAGCAGACACATGCACAGACAGAGCAGTGGAGCTCAAGCAAGCGGCCCTTTTTTGCAGGATGAAAAGTGTATTTTTAAAATTTTTGTTTGTTTGGTTTTGCTGGAGTACAATTATTGCTGTTTTAAAAACAATGTTTAAACTAAGAAGAATAAAAATGATCATCTCATCATTATCAGTCTCCCTATAAGGTGTTTCGATGTTTGATTGGCTGTTAATGGAGTTGTAGTGAGAAGTCTGCCCCTTTGATTTGGGGTGCGCCCCCTCGCCCTGCCTCCTACTCCTCCACTTTGCTCCCACGCAGGCGTCACACTTGTTGAAACCCGCTTGACTTTTCAAGGGACATTCACGCACAGCACAACGCCTACACATTTTGTATTAATGAAATCCGTGATTTTAAAACCTTGTCCAGCTATTTACTGACCTTTGACATGTTGAATGAAGAGAGATTAGGGGAGAAATATACACAGCTGCAGCAGCAAACTAACCAACAGACATACAAAGAGACAGAAAATTCTATGATGGGAAGTCAAGTGAAATTTTTTCTTGACAATAACATGCTCAGCCCCATTTGTCAAAACACGGCCTTCCGATTAATAATATTGTGTTTGTGGAGTCCATCTCAGTGGGCAGCCATTTTGTCACTTGCTATCGAATGAAAATGACATCACAGTGAAAAAGGGCTCAGGTAACAACAAACCCATCTCACCTATTTTGTGATTTTAAGTCAAATGACTTTTGCAAGCTGAACCATGATTGCTTGATACCTGAGCCCTGAGCAATTGTGATTTGAACTAGTCTGGATTCGATTCCCAGATGTCAATTTACTGTACTTTTGTGCTGGTGTTTGTGGAAGTAAATGTTCATTTATTTAACAATAAAATCTAAACATTATTTGAATAATACCTTTGACAAACAAATAAAAAAACATCATGAATCTAAAAAAAAGTGAGCCAAAGAGGATGGAGTAACAATAAAAGGTATAACACTTAACAGTTACGTAATACACAGTCAAAATAATACAAATAATGATCTGTTGCGTACAAGAGCCATTGAAAATTGGGAACTTATCCACTCTTGCGCAGACACAACTTTGAAGGACTCATTTCGGAAATGGAACACGGTACCATTGGATTTCATATGAATCACTGCTCGGTAGTTCTGACCCAAATTGTATTTTGAAGAATATATTGGATGCCTTTTTTTTTCCATTTATTCAGAGAGAAGTTTAAATAAGCTTTAACTTGGGCCACATTATTTTTTTGTCTGTAATTCATTCATTTCTTCAATTTCATAATTTGTGTGTCAAATATATCCTACTTTTTTTTCTTACATTTTTGAAAAAGTTGGGCCAAGTTTGCCCCTTTTTTTTCTTGAGCACCTGCCCTCCAAAATGTCTGTGGCCACGCCTTAATTTTATTTTATCTTTGCCTCTTCATCCTTGTGAAAAAGTTAGAATCCTGAGCAGTGTGATTTATTTTGTGGAATTAAGGTGAACGTGTCATTCAGTAGAAACCACACCTTGCGAGTCATGTGTTCAGCGGGAATCACTTTTAGACAGTTTCTAATTGTTTATTTTACCTATTAATGTTTTCCATTTGGCAAAAATGTTCTTACACACTGTATTTCTATGTCATGGCTCTTTTGAAAGCGTCCCAACAAATTCGTATTATTTACTAAAAGTACTAATATGGAAACACTGCCACCCAATGGCAAGAAACGGGCATACATGTATGTTGGTTATGATTTGTTGGCCAACCATTTGAGTTCAAAGAGGCTTTGTCATACAATAGACTGAAGAAAATTGATTTATGTTTCGTGTGTTTTAGGGGCAGACTGCTACATAATTACGAAACACTCAGCACTCATGGTGCTCAATGTGTCAGTCAACCAGTCATACGTAGTGATGGTGAAAAAAAAAAGATTTTGATCTTGCAGACAAGCTGACAAAAACATCAGGTCACTCGGGAACTTTGTGGTAAATAACTGTGACCATTTTTTTCCTAACGTACAGCAAAACTGATGTAAATATCAGAACGTTTTACACAAATCCGAACCATCAACAGTACCATTATTATGGCAGTTTTCTTTTGAAAGCATTCAGTGAGTGTAATAGCTCGTTGTTCCACAGAGGGAGCTACAGTCCATGCGATGTGATCTGTCAGTGTATGCAGGTGCTAGAAAAATATCTGAACTGCATTGGAATTATAGCACCTGGATTTCTGATTAAAAGTACGACACATTTTGATCAGATTCCTCCAAGTCACAGTACGACAGACAAACATTATCTTAGACAATACCTCGCAAACTATTAACCGTATAGGTTTACATGTTCCACAGTGCTGGTGGATAACGTATATTAATCTTGAGTTGTTAAGAACTCTTTTTCCTACCTTCGCAGCAATAACCTCAACAATTTCCTGATGTTACAGATCAGACCTGCACAACAATCAGGGGGATATTTTGGACTATTCCTGTTTACACAACTCTTTGGATATAGTAATATTCTTGAGATGTCTTGTGTGCTTGTTTTGAAAAGGTTACGCTGTAGCATCGAATGCAATTTAGTTTTTGGATAGCAAACTGTCCAAGTCCTGAAGTAACAAAACATTTAATGTTTTGTGCAGTATTCGTTTCAGCGGGCTGTTGTTGTCTATTGTTGTGACTTAGATGATCTCATCACGTTTGATGACTAGTTTACTTAGAAAATTGGGTAAAAGTTCACATCCTTTTTCTTGAAACTGTATGTAGTGTTTGTATGTTTGCCTTATTTACGGTCGATATACTGTCGCTCTGCTAGGGCTAAAATGCAATGACTTATATTTTTGTTGACATTTCTCTCCTTTATTTTAATCTACATACCTCAAAAAGCATTGCACTAATGAGGATAATGTGCGCTTTGGATGAGCTCAGAGGAAATCACCCATGATGTGTCTATCCCCCCCACAGGAGACCAGCAGGCAGTGACCCACTTCTTTTGTGTGATCTTCATCAGCTCAAGAGGCTTTGTTTGTAATCATTCATCGGTGCCCACCCGCCACATTCTGACCTCATCCCTACCCCTTCAGCCTTCACCCATACACATGCTGCCATAACTGAATGAATTATTAGTGCTTTTATCACTTTTCTGTCAATGAAAAATGCACAGATTTTTATTAAAATTATTGTTATTCTGTATTTTCCATCAAACCACAACCAAGACTTCCTTTCAAAGGTATTGGAACGATGAAGCAAATGCCTTTGTTTTTACTGTACCTTGAAAGCACTTCCGTTTGACATGAAAACTTCTTTGCAATTTTCTTCTAAAGAAAAAAAAACATCTAAATTCATCCAGAAGAAACTGTGAATGAGGAGGAAAAAATAATGTGGTTGTAAATAGTGTATAGGTGTTTCGAGAAAAAGAGACTACCCTACCTAGTTTAAGTATGACACCTACTGTATGTGGTTTGTCGATTGTATGAAATAGTTATTTGAAATGGTAAAGGGAGGAAAACGAGCCCATCAGAATTATGTCTTGTGAAATTGATGCACTACTCATTCACTGTACACCCACATTTTGTTTCCTCTTTAAATCAAGTACAATTCTCATGAATTTAAAAGATTTGTTGCACTACTTGAATAATTCACGCATACTTTACTCATTTGGGTGCACAGTAGAAAGAATGCACTAATATATTTAAGCTTAGAAGACTAAAAATGTGTGCTAGTCTTAACCAGATCCCTATGATAATTCAAATGGAAGTGGGGCTCAGTGATTGGCTGGCAGGATGGGAAACCGGAGACCTGGACACACTGGTGACTGCCATAATGGATCACCCCCTCGTATTTGTTGATTCAGTTAAACAGTTTATTCAACACAGCTAACCATCAGACATGTTGACTCAGTGCAAGGCATCAGAGACCCATTTTTGTAACATGGTTAAAACAGTGTTTGATGACTCGATGGGTTAGTAGGTAACACACCTACTTTGGACATAATGACTGAGGTTCAAATCCCGGTCAGAGCAAATGGTAATGCTTGCCTTAGGTAAAACACACATATACCCTGGTCCCTTAACCTGGATAAAAATGGGTGGCCGTGGAAACTGTACCAAAGAAATGTGGTGTGTGGGTACCTTGCAGTGGTAACCTCTGACTGGGAAAAGCTGAAAGGCACTTCTTCCATTTGTTGCAAACACACACACACATTCGTATGGATGCCATTAAAAAAAATACTGTTTCCTATTTCCCACGCTGTTATGGCGGACGACAGCTTCCCCCATGCGCTCCTCGTGCTCATAATTGGAGGTCATACACAGCTGTGTGAGAAGCACCAAAATATGGCGCTATCATATTCAGCCAATGAGGTGGCAACTTGTAACAGGTTGCATCTGACGTCACTGACGCGGCGAGAGCGCGCATTCAATAGGGGCACGAGAAAAGATAGAGCGGGCGGCGAGGTCTTTTCGCTATGTCTCTAGTGTAACCGGCTAACAGTAAAATGGGGGAACCGGAGTCCAGCAACGGGATGGGCGCACAGCGACAGACTGCAGTGAAGAACTCATCGATGTGGATTAACACTATGATAAAACATTTGTTCTTCCGCACGTTTGAGACCAGCCAGTGAGTGAGCAGTCCAGGAGGGAGGCGTTGTTCGCTGTGATTCAGACTCAAGCAGAGCTGGCTCCAACTTACCGACGAGGAAGGGGCTTCAACAAGGATGGATGAATTTTCCATTACAGGCCACTACGGTCAGACCAACCCGGTCCGAGTAGGGTGGGTTCGTTCGGCTTAAAAAAAATAACGAAAAAAAAAAAAGCAGTCGGTTCCTATCTGGCGGCTCGTCCTTCGTCCTGCCGGCCGTGGAGTTGAGCCATGTCTACGTTCTGCCTCGACCTGAGCACGTCTGGTGTGGCTTCAGCACCGTTGGAGCTGGACAGCGACTACATGGAGCCGTGCCGCAAACCCGCAGCTCACGAGCCCGGAGGCTGCCCGGCTAACCCGCTGCGCCACGCCGGCTCCGGCTCCGGAGGCCTCGGCGTGGCGTTGGAGGAGGAACTGGCCATGCTCAGCGACGAGCAGGATAAAGCGGAAGAGCTGTCGGTGGACCGTAATGCCGACTTGATGTCTCTCATCCGTCAGAAGGAAAAGGATTTGGTGTTAGCTGCCAAACTGGGCAAAGCTTTACTAGAACGAAACCAAGATTTGACGAAGCAATATGAGAAAATGCACAAAGACCTCAACGACAAATTAGAGGTAATAAAAGTGATTCATCAACAGTAAATGCTCTTAGATCTCGATGATGTACTTGCAATGACCAAGGTTTGTTAAAAGTAATGTTATACAATTGAGCATAGCATCATATAAAACTAATTTTCTTTTGGGATTATTGTCCTAGCAAGTGGTACTGTACTTTTTCAGTTCTGTTTTTTTTTCGTTTAACATTGCGCCATAACTATGACAAAAGTAATCTCAAGGGCCAATTGGATTATTTCTATGAAAGCTTGCTTCTTATTTCAATGCTTTCTGAATCTGTCCGATTTACAACAAGAGTTATCTGAAGTCACTTTTTCATGGCATTCTTGGACAAAGGTGCCCATCTGCCTTGATTTACTGGTAGGCCTACCAGCAGGAATAACTCATCATGACTTTGGTCAAACTTCTGGTCTAGTTTATCCCGAATTGTATCACTGACCACCTATTTAGTATTTTGACAATGGAATACCATGCTGCTTTGTTTCCTCTTTTTCTGGGGGGGGGGGGTATTCTCCACTCTAGCTAATATGTAGACTGAGAAAAACACACAAGACTAATCCCTTCACTGTACACAGCTCACTGAATCTACTGTACATCTGTTCAGCCCTTTGATCCATATTCATCCTCATGATGCAGCTCAGAATTAATCTGCTTCCCAATATCAGACCCCTTGAAGTTGTTTTGGGGCTTAACTTGTTTTGTTGCATCTGTTTTGGAATTCTTTGTTTACAATCTACTCCATTTTATTCAGACAACAACGGATGCATCTAAATTGTGAGATAGCCATTGTTAATAGCCAAGTGACCAACTGGTCACTGCTATGAAGAGACAAGGATGATCTTTGTTCAAATAATGTTTTTAAAAAATGACACATTAAGGAGAAACAAAGAGACTCAAGTGTCAAGTTCAAGACCAGAAAGAAGGAAGCAAAAGCGAAGTTTGTCATCCCCCTTCCTTACAATCCAAATTATTACCAATAAAAACTTTGTATGAAATGACAATTTAGTGCTTGTTTTGGAAAAACAAACACATTTCAATTTCTGGAGAAGGAAAAACTGGATTTTACTTTACATCCAGTTCTGTCATCATTTTCCAGTGGTGAAGGACCTCCTTTTCTTAACGCACTCCAAACTGTGATAGACCATCTAAAATACCGTGTGCTATTTATACATATGTTTTCATGGATGTCGGCACTACAGCTATAATATCTAATCTTGTGCCGCTTCTCTTCCGGCAGCACTTGGAGCAAGAGAAGCATGACTTGCGTTGGCGTCTGGAAAATCGAGAGGGGGAGTGGGAGGGCCGCGTGGCCGAGCTGGAGACTGACATCCAGCAGCTACAGGGAGAACTGGAGCAACACCAGGTCCAGCTGAGAGAGGCTGACAGGGACAAAACTAAGGCCATCAGTGAGCTATCCGAACAAAACCACCGACTTCTCGAACAGCTTCGAAGGGTGAGAAATTGTCCATGTGCGTATTTGTGTCTGCATGTGCAAGCGTGTACTTCAGATGTAACACTTCAAGCAGCATGGAAGATTTAATTAGTCTGGGCTTTGTGTCACATGGCCTTAAGCGTTCTTCCACGCTCCAGAAAACCCCATACAAAGAAAGTACACATGTGTTCATGTGTTCCTGGGTTGGCTGTCGGGGTCTCTCAGCGGAATTCAGGTCTGCCTGCATGACATAAGATGCGTAGCGGGACAAATTGCCTTCAGCCCAGCGTTCATACTCCACCCAAAGTCATCAGTGTGAAAGGTGTGCTTTTGAAGCTTATCATGTCGAACAATTCCGAGCGATTGCCCTGCACACTGCAAAACCACTCTGCATATTGACAGGTATTTCAAGGCAGTAATAATGAATTGCATTAGTAGGAGATCGTCCCAGGTAAGGTTCACCTACTCAGCAGACACTTGCAGTAATTTGGCTTCATTTAATGGCTGACGAGAGATAAGATATGGAAGACGTGTTAAAATCGGCCCCTGTAAACAAAACAGTTCAATTGTGACCAAGTGGGGAATGATCTTGTCCATATGCATTAAATGTTAAGTCACGGGAAATAATGAAAACATAGGAACTGGGAAGCCTCGCACCCACAGGTGATTGAACGTTGTTGAGAATAGAGTGAAAACTAGATGGCCAAAAATAGAAAAAAAAATTCTTGGGTCAAGCTGTGACCGTCATAAAATATTTCTAACTACACTGAAAACATCTTTCAACATTCCGAACTGTAATGAAAAATGAGGAAAGATCCTAAAATTTGCAACTAACCTCATTTAATTTAGAACATTCTCAACTAGGGGCATTCGGGAAGGCCTCATGCGATAATATAATCATATTCAAATCCAAATGTCTTTTTCATCCAAAATAACACCAACAGAGCAAACTTTGTCGTTTCTATTTTAATATTTTGTAGCTGAAGACAGCTGGAGGAAAGCTACACAAGCACGAGCATAAGATGAAAACTCCAAACAGGAAGCTGTGATTGAATTGCCCAACCTCAACTGAGAGGCGGACATCCTGACCACGAGTACACCATTCTGTCATTTTACAGACATCTCCCTCCCCACCACAAAATTGTGTTGGAATTTCCAATTGTTGGACCTTAGGGGCATCCTTACCATCCTAGAGCAAAGGTGTGATGTCACACTTCAGCACATAATTTGTCCATGCTTGGACCCAGCATTCTGCTGTCTTTCCCTTGCCTGCCTGCCATCCATGGCGGGGAGGCCAGTAAAGGGTATAAACGCCACATGGCAAAATGCCTTCGAGCTTTAGTCCCCAAAAGATAGCGTGCGCATCTTAATCTCTTTTGCAGTCGTGTCTGTGGCCTTGTGTGTACATTGATCCTTCTCCTGGGAAAAGAGGTTCTGCGGCTTTGCACGTGCTGATACGATTGACTGACCTGCAGTTTAAATTGTATCTTGCTCCTGGGATTCCTCTCATCTTGGTCATATACTACTATTACTACTACTAATAATTATTATTATAATTGCTATAATTATTATTACCAGCGCCCGTCGCAATGGCTTCATCATATTTTATGAAAGAAGAGTGCAGGACCAATCTGTTGCTGTAAGGAAAGTGTTACGGTTACCGTTATTGTGTGACATTCCCAAGAGTTAGTAGACTGCATCCCCTCAGATCTCACGATTCATTTCCTTTGAGCAAGAAAATGGGCACCTTGCATAACAGAACAAATGAGGTCAATCACAGTGCTTGCCTGTTCCACCCCTTTACTGCTTTTCTGATTGGCTTGCTTCCCCAACCCCCACCCACCTCTCTGCTGCTCATTACTCAGCAATGGGCTGCCACCAAGTGATGTCGACTGTTTACAAGTCTGATTGGATGTTGAGAACATAAACACCCCCCAGGGGAACTGCTTGTACAAGACATGCTCTATTTTCATTTGGCGGAACTATTCTCCTGTGCTACTTGTCGACTCTTTGAATAAAAACAGCTGATCAGTATCTAATTAGTTTCCATCTCTGGAACAATAGGATCAACTCTCCTCCTTTTCATTGGCCACCATCAGCAACAAGAAGCTATGTAGGCCCTAGCTATCTAACTAATGAACATCATAATTACTTTAAAGATAGCAATTGCCTTTGTTAACCATGATAATGCGATTTCTGCTAAATCATATTCATGTAGGTAAACTAACCAATGGCTCGATTCAACACCTTGCTTCTTTAGAACAACACAATACTGCATCAAACATGTATGTATACAATAGTCAGATGGACTCAGTGAAATTCCTTTAACACTCTCAATTTATTTAATGGCAGGTACCCTTGTTTGTGACAGTGCAAAAGCTTTCCAACAAGTAAACAACTGGGCACGAACTATGGAGCAACACTTTTTTTATTTTTTTATTTTTTTGTGACATCATGCTCCACATTCAATTTGTCCAGGAGTTTTAGATGTTAGCCTTTTGAAACTGGGCATTGATGCAATCAATGCAAAAAACCCACCTCAAAACTCACTTGTATTCTTTGGCATTTGACTCAGCATGACTCAGATTTGATCGTAGTTTTACTGTTTGGTGCCTTCTACAATCTTTGTTACTGATTTATTGCTTCATTGTTGTATATATGTTAGTTGCTCCATGTACAGCACTTTGTATGCAGCAATGGCTGTTTGGAAGTGCTCTATAAATACAGTTGAGTTGAGAATAATTGAAAGGAGAATAGGAATAATGTCTTAACGGAGCTCTCAATTGGCTACAAAAGGATGGCCTTGCAAGCAGGACTCTCTGACGGAAGTGATGTAAGACGCAACACAGAGAGGATTAGGCTATAATCCATGGTAATAGCCTTGCCATATGCACTAGAACCAAAACAACTTAGCCCCTCACTCAAGTTAATTAATAACAACAGGTAACATATTGATTGAGGAAAAGATCTAAACTGTGAGCGTTTCTGCCGTCATTTCTTGCCCGGAGTGATGTAAATCATCGTGTGTGTGTGTGTGTGTGTGTGTGTGTGTGTGTGTGTGTGTGTGTGCCTACGTGCAGATGAGTTTTACTTGGTCACTTATATGTTGTATTCACTCAATTCACAATATTCATTCATTCTCCGAACCACTCAACCTTAACTTCACAATAGTTGCATTGAAATAATTAATGGCCATTTGATACAAAAAAAAAAGTGTGTCTGTGTATGCAGTACAGGTGTAGAGTATCAACAAATCACATCAACACAGTACAGTACAGTATTTTAATGTTGATTTTTTTTCCGTCTTGGGAAAATAAGAGTCTATTTTGGGTTGTTTTGTTGGATTCATTCTTTGGTGTATGAAAATGTTTGCCTGCGTATCATACAGTTTTATTGCTAGTTGCAAGTAACTGTCCCGTTGATGATCACTGATGTCTGGTGATTCTCGTGCATACTGAAGGATTTGTGTTGCCATTTGCATTGCTTCCTTGCTGGATGATGGCTTGTCATCAGGAGTTGAACTGGGAAGATCATCTTCTTCCTCAGACTTGATCACATTGGTGGTTTGCTCCAGCAATTCAGTGATTTCTTTTGCTGTGTAATCTTTAGTGACAGCCAAATCACAGTCCACATTTAGAAGATCCTGGTTTGTCCACTCGCTCACCGTCTCAATCTTTACCTCCCCTCCCTCACTACGCAAGACAGAATTGGTCAGCTGATGCCCTGTAACAAACTTTTGCAGCCAGCCACCGGACGCTTCGAAGTCGTCTATGCCCATGGATTACGCTATGGAGCTAGCCTTCTCGTGAATTAGCGGCCCAGTGAGCGGGAAGTTTTTAGCACGACAACAGTGAAACCATTCCAGCACACGATCATTTACCGCGCTGTATCTCGTCCGTCGAGCCACAAGCAATTTCCTATGAGCAGGGAGACTCCCACATTCGTACTGGGCAAGAATCGATGCCTTGTTTATTTAAAGTTTCGTAGATTTGGGTCTTTCCGACTTTAAGTGTCTCCTGGATGCTTTTTACTTTGTGTCCAGCTTCGCTCAAACGGATGCATTTCACTCGCTCCTCCACAGTCATTACAGTTCTTCTTTGTTTCGATGCCATGATCTACAGGACGCAAGTGAAAAAAATGTTAAAATCTTTCGCAATTACAGTAAAACGCACGCCAATAAAAAGTCACTTACACGTCGTCGTTTCGGATCCGATGACAGAAAAAGGCGAAGTGAACACTTTTCTTCTGTTGTGTGGAGTGGGCGCTGCGTGTATTAAGCTATTGCGGGCTTCCTTCTGCTTCCGGGTTACGAATACCGGAACTTCCGCTTAAGGAAGTTCTCATACTGAGAAGCTATTTTGGCCCCTTGGAAACCTGAAAGAGGCTCGCTTCCTGTAGCATATTTGCGAGCTGCTGGCACAGGTTGTCTTGAAACTGTGCAGGGTACAATAGAATCTCAAGACAATCACTTGTGTTGCCCATTGTCAGTCGTGTTCCATTCATTTTGTCCTAGCCAGTTTGGTTTAGATCATTTTGTTGAATCCCAAAAAGTGGTGCCAGGTTTGTTAATTATCAGTTATTTTTTTTAATCATGATTAGTATCACTTTTCAACTTATTTCAGTGATTTTTTTTTTCTTGCATTGAATCTTACCCCTGCAACCCCCCCACAAAAAAATCATGCATTTGTGAAGCAGTGTGTTTGTGCTTGATCCACTGACAGTTAATGCAGGCTTATTTAGCGGTTTCTGTGAGTGAGTGTGAATGCCAGAGTACAGACCAAGGGTGCGGAATGAGTCCACCCCGCAGCCATCAACTGCCTTTTGACGACCACTTTTCTTTCGCTATGACGAAAACGGGCAACGCGAGGAGTTGCCAGACTAAGCGAGTAGACAATGTGTCAGTCAGCCATGTTCTCTGTCAATCTGCCACCCTGTAGTTAAAGGTTGTGACTGCGAGCTGATCCTGAAGTGGCCATGACAGACTGCGCATCTGGTTGCTTCACAAAGAGGAGCATGTCATGCAGCTGTCACCGATACCGCCGTCGATGTCCTAGTTCCGTATCCGACTGAACGGAACTGTTGAGGGGGTCCCTGGTGATTCTGTGACTGGCTCTTATGATACAACAAAGCAAACTTACAAGATATTAATGCCAATGGGAGAAGTGTTTGTGATGTGAAGCCGTACTGCATCATATTCAGCGATGGTTAAAATATTTTGGGTTCCCACTTAAGCTAAGTGAGGTGTGCAAAATATTAGACTCTGTTGCACACCACTGTCGTATTGTGAAGATGTTTGTGTGCGGTCATGTGACTGCCTGGCTCTGCAAATGGTGAAATGGATGCAGTACATATAGAATAGCAGTTATTCTTTGCAGAAATATTGAAGTATAAATACAGTATTTATTCATTATCTGAGTTTTTGATTTTGGGGCACACAGCGTTTGTGTTTTGTGATGTGTCTGCCGCATGCTGCAGACACATCAGTTACGCAATACAGTGATCCCTCGCAATTTCGCGGTTCGTTTATCGCGGCTTCGGTGCATCGCGGATTTTTTTCAAAAATATTCATAAAAAAAAAAATATA